TAGCGTAACCTAGCAGGAGTAATCTAGCTAGGTGCTTTTTTCTTTTCTGCCCTTTTTCATTTTCTATGGTACCACAAGACCCATCTAAAAAAGCAGATGAGGAACTTCTTTATGCAACCTCGCTGACGATAATGATGATGATGATGGTGATGATGTCCTTGTTTCAACATCCGTATGTACAATGTCATCTGTGGCTTCCATAATTATTTCTTTTTCACTGAGGTTGAACCTAGCATAAATGTGGTTACGTAATCAACCATGTCACTGCCATGCCCTCATGAGATGTAGAGCACGAACACAATGGTCGATACTTTTTATAATTACTTACACATTTTTCTGGCCGTGACTACTATGAATCATTCAACGTACCTGCACGGAGAGCGGGAGAAAAATTGAATCTTCTCTCAGCCGCTACATACTCTATTCCAAACTATATCACAAAATGTGTAGAGTACCTACATGTACTTGATAGCATACATGACATGTAAAACGTCCAAGCTACGTGGAACCCAGAATTTGGGATAATCTATTTCTGCATTTTCTTTTTCCAACAACATCTCTGGGACCTTACCAGAGAAGTAGCTCCTCCCCCTAGATTCTCATTTTTTTTTCCCTGCATACAGCACTTTGAGCTGAATGGAAAAAAATAGATGGAAAAAAAAATACATAGTATAACTGAAACAGGGTGTATTCCAAATGTGGATATGAATGGGCAGAAAAGAGAGAAGGGTTGCAGCGCAGGATATCTGATGGATCTACACGGCGGCAATCTGGCAGCGTGGGCAGGCGGCCAATAAATCGTGCAGGTTTGGATTCGGGCTGGTCTGGTTGTGTTGTGAATTTGCGAGGGGGCAAGGCTATGTGGTCTGTGGAGGAGCAGGGTCAGGGCGGGAGGAGGGGGAGGGGAAGACAATGACGAGTGATGGGGTGTGATCTGGGAATAAAGGTGATTGGAGGCGCGCAGGGATGGAGATGGCTGGGATGCATGGGGATGCGATATAAATACAATTAAATGGGGCTAGAGCTGCCTATTTAGAGTGGGACTTGCACTCCCGATTCTAATGAAGACTATAGCTTGATAGTCTGTCTGGTGAGTCGATTTGTTGTTCTACATCGCCAAAGGGTGTTAGTTGGGGATAAATGTGTAGAATTGCGGGACTAGGTCATTATCGCAAGATAAACCTTCGCTAACGAACTACATGTAGTTACTCAGTCAAGGGTACCTGTATTGTGTGCTTTACTACAAGGGTTTTTTTGTTTACTCAGCGGTATGTCGAAACGATGTGTTTTCGTTCTATCGAATACAATTCGGCCAACGTATCAATGTGCAAGGGCCACCAGTCGGTTGAGGAATGTTTAAGCATCCCGTCAATGCCGTGCACACGTACGGCCAGACGGGCATATAGAATAACACTGATCTTCAACAACAAGGACAGCGTATACAAGTGTAAGTACTACATACTACAAGCATAAATTTTTTGCATGTATATACAAGCATAAATAATTATCCACTTTTTCAAGCACAAGCACATATCATACAAGGTTTCCTTGACTCTCCCAACCCATGAACGGTGAAGAAACAAACCGAGTGATCATCAATGATCGTCTCCCCCGCGCGTTGATCATGGCGGTAAATGCGCAAAACAATCAAGCAAATTAGCGACGACGTTAACATGAAACGGTCGAATCAGCGCCCCTAGTCCATTATACCTTCTCCGGTGGCGCTTGCCACCGGGGAGAGATATATAGGTCTCTCATAAGTGGTCATATGAATCCTTATCAGAGCGCTATATAGACATATGTCACTAATATTTGTACTCTATCTGGGCGCTTGGCACATGAGTGATACTATAGTGGCACACCGGCATTGGTAATGATTGGAGATGCTAGGGCGAGAATCTTATAGAAATGGGACTTATAGAGTCACTAGAACTTTGTCAGTCTCGGACGCGAATCTGGCAAAACAGAGTATAGTAGATGTAGTTCAAAGAATCATACCACAGTTGACATTCAACGTATACAGGGCTTCGATCAAATTCTAATTGCAAACCTAAAATCATATTAATCCCTAGATTTTAGCGTTAACGGAGCTAGTACCGTAGCCAGGCTGTAGATCGGAAATTTAAATGTATATTAGTGCTGTATTAGTAGGACTTTAATTACGAAACAGCACACTCTAAATAAATGTACGTGTAGCACTTTTGAGGACACCGTGGAGGGTCGCGGGCCGTCTACTACATGTATACTATTCACTCAGTGGACCGAAAGACCATCATCACGCGTTCTTAAACCTCATTCAATAAGAAGGCAAGATAGATCGCCTAGCGTGACGTTTCTCGGAAGATCAAATTTCATTAAACGACCATCTTCCTTACACTCCTTAATCTGGAGAGACCCTCGCTTGTATCACTGAGTTAAGAGGCTAGATCTTTTTCTTGGGGGGCATCATAATCATACGTGAGTTTGGCGAACCTCAATATCGAAATCCGAAATACTAATCAGACTTCATTGGCGGGCCAAAGTTCAGAGTTTCAGCCCTTAGCCACTATTTTCAAATACAGGACAACCTGCCACTCTTTATATCACTTCGGGTTGCAGCTTTCCAGAACCGCCGAGACCGACGAGATAGACCGAGGGTTAGGGTTACCGCTCGCCCTCCCTTGCTACCCAGGTACTCACGATCGAGAACTCAGGAACCAAAAGGCTTACTTTAGGGTGCCGAGACCCGCAAATATAAATGGCGCAAGCGCCATGTCTTTCATTCGGGACAATTATTCCGAATTTTCCGAAGCCTAGGGGGGGCTAGATGAGTCTGATGGGTGATACTTCATGCTCACCGATGGGAGGCAGGCTGCCTTTTTTTTTTTTTTTACCTCCCCATCTCATCGCATCGTAGCTACCCGTTGCCTAACAAACCTCTCTAGAATCGGTTGTATTGTAGGCACTGTGTGGAGAGGCCTGCGAGTAACCGAATACTTAGGCTAAAGTGTAGGGTGGTTTGCTCGCAAGCTGGTTGTTCCTGAATGCTCATTCCTCCGAAGCTCTACCGACCCGCGGGGTATGCGATGACCCCGCATTAGGCAGTGAAGCTATAAAAATACAGTCCATTTACTTGAAGTTGTCGCGATAGTCGTCAATAGCATTTCTTACAATTGAGGGTTTATATTTTATACAACAGAAGCTACAGAACCGAACATAAGTCAGACAATATGGTCAAGATTGTAGCTTTCGAATCACGGGATGTTCGGTTCCCAGTATGTTTTGCCTTCCCAACTAGGATGAGAATATGATATAAGATACTGATGAGATGGAAATAGACATCACTCGATAAAACCGGATCAGATGCCATGAACGATGCTGGAGACTACTCTGCAGCATACTGTATCCTAAAAACCGATGGTCCTTTCGAAGGCCACGGTATGGTGCGTTATTTACCCTTTAAAGCTAAAATTAGCTATATAGCTAACATTTATTGTAAAAGACCTTCACTATCGGCCGCGGAAACGACGTAGTTTGCTCTGCGATCCACCACGTCGCTCAGCGCCTCGTCGGCCACGACTTGTCGGCGCTCACTGCTAACATGGGTCGCACATGGCGTCATCTGGTTGCCGACTCGCAATTGCGATGGATTGGCCCCGAGAAGGGAGTTATCCACCTGGCTCTCGGAGCTGTGGTTAATGCGTTGTGGGATCTGTGGGCTAAGACGGAGGATAAGCCGTTGTGGAAGCTGGTGGCCGATTTCACACCCGAGGAGTTTGTGAGGTGTATTGATTTCAGATATATTACGGATGCAATCACACCGGAGGAGGCAGTGAAGATGTTGACAGAGACACTGGAAGGCAAAGATAGGAGAATTGAAGAGGCGAGTGTGGATAGAGCCGTGCCCGCCTATACTACCAGTGCTGGTAAGTGCTATTTCCGCCTTGTATGTTCCCAAGGGAGTTGAGATCTAACGATCGTGTGTGGGTGAAATATAGGCTGGCTAGGCTACGGCGAAGACAAAATGCGTAGCCTCCTTCAAGAAACTCTCGAACAGGGCTACAAGCACTTCAAGATCAAAGTTGGTGGCTCCGTCGAGGAAGATCGCCGGCGCCTCCGCATTGCCCGTGACATCATTGGCTACGACAGCGGAAACATCCTCATGGTGGATGCAAACCAGGTCTGGTCGGTGCCAGAGGCAATTGAGTACATGAAGCAGCTCGCCGAGTTTCGTCCCTGGTTCATTGAGGAGCCAACTTCACCCGATGACATTCTTGGGCACGCAGCGATCCGCAAGGCCTTGAAACCTTTGGGCGTTGGCGTTGCGACAGGAGAGATGTGCCAGAACCGGGTCATATTTAAGCAGTTGCTGCAGGCACAGGCGATCGATGTATGTCAGATTGATGCATGCAGGATGGGCGGTGTGAATGAGGTGTTGGCAGTGCTGTTGATGGCGAAGAAGTAAGCAATCTACTCCCCTTGCCTCCTTGAGATAAGAAGGGTAAACTAACATAACTGAAGGTTCGGCGTACCAATTGTACCCCACTCCGGTGGTGTCGGGTTACCAGAGTACACCCAGCATCTGTCAACGATTGACTACGTGTGCGTATCAGGCAAGCTGTCACTGCTGGAGTATGTTGACCATCTACATGAGCACTTCTTGCACCCGTCTGTCATCAAGGACGGATACTACACTACACCTAAGGACCCAGGTTATTCGGTGGAGATGAAGAAGGAAAGTATGGAGGAGTTTGGATTCCCCAACGGGACATTCTGGAAGAGTGCGCAAGCAAAGGGTATCTTGAACCATTTGGATGGCGTCAAGATCTAAATCAGAATGTTATTGTAGTTGTAGTAGGGTTAGGGTATGGGTTTTGGGCGAATAATTTCACTTGGGTTCAATGATAGTTTTGAGTTTTTTTGATACAATGTTTTTGGTTGTTAAAATGCTTATAAACACCACAACATCAGCCCATTGAGAATAAAAATATTTATATAGGATCAGTGTCAGTAGTCGCTAGCTAATCCGAATCACTGTCACTGCCGCCATCCTGATCCTTCATCTCATCTTTACCAACATCACCGCCTTCTGCAGCGGCTTTTAGTGCCAACTTCTTAATTCTTTCCCTAGCCTTTTTCTTTGCCTTCTTCTCCCTATTCTTCCTGCTCTTGTCCTCCCTCTCCAATCTCGCCCTCTCCTCGGGCGGAAATCCTGCGAACTTCTTCGTCGCATCGATCTTCCGCTGTCGCTCCTCTTCCGTAGCCTTGATCTTCTGCTGCGCCTTCCTTATCGCGATCCGCGACTTCTTACTAGGCTTCCCGTGCTTCCCATCCGCCCTCGGTTCTGGCGGCTGCGCGCGCATCGTAATAGTTATAACCTTATGCGGGACTTTACAAGCTGGCTATCATTTCCCGCTCGCGCATTAGTAGACCGCCCACAACCACCACATGTCTCAGAAACATACCCAAACAGCCTTCGCGCCGACCCGCACCTCGTCGGCCTCAACAATCATACCACCAGCCAGCAGCACTTGCCGCCGCAGCGCCATGTCGGCTTCACTGAGAACATAGTGCGCGACGGGGCGCTTCTGTGAGTGAGCGAGCGCCTCCCAGAGGTCTTCTTCGCAAGGGGGGGTGGCCTCTTTGAGGGTTACGGTCTGGCGCGGGCCTGAGAAGAGACTGAATTCGAGGTCTGCGTCGGCGGGGTCGTCGGCGGGGTTGGCGGATGGGAGGGGCGCGACGGTGACGAAGTCGAGGTCGAGGTCGAGGGTGTGCGTGTCGGAGGTGGTGGGGGAGTCGGCGGCTGGAGTGAAGTCGTCGAAGAGCTCCGCGCGGCGGACGCTGAGGCCAATTCGTTAGTAGGAGTGCGCACGGGGTGGGCGGGAGTGGGGGCGCTTGGAGAGAGGGGTGGGCAGCAGTACCGTTTAGTTTCTGGGAGGTCAAACATTGCGCGCAGTGCTGTCGATGGCTGGAAGGAGACCGGGGGTGAGGTGCAAGTGTCTTGGGTTGTCTTGGCGCATGAAGTGTCACTCGAGTTTTCGGTGGTCTGGTTGAGGTCTGGACTGTTATGTATAATAGTGAGAGTTATTACTGCAGAAGTTCCAGGGAGCTCCACGGAGGAAGAAGAAGGATGCCTTCTCCCCACCTCCTCGCTCAACCCCGGATGCCCGCAAGGGGGATCTCACCCCGCGCATACGTTACGGCTCGGGGTGGCAGATCTGGGGACAGGCTGGTCGGGCCCGGGATAGATGCGTGCATATGGTGGGAGAAAATTAAGGCTGGAGAAAAGGGGACATAAGTATATAGGTTATGCGCTCTAGTGGGGTGGTGGTGCAATTGCATATCCACCTACTCTAGTTAGTGACCGGTGTGGTAGGTAGGCACTCCTTAAGCTTATTATATTAATTACCGTATGTGCTCTACCAAAGAAACCCAATTCCGCTCCGCTGCACTGCAGCAGGGGAAATAACATGCAGAATATGTACGCTACCTTTCCATGGCTTCAAACTGTTCCAACGTTAGTACTTTTCTTAGATCGATTGCATACATACGAAACATATGCATAATTCACCCTTGCTGCATGCAGCGGATGTGTGTGTATCGAGTAGAGCGCTCTTGGTATATACAAGTATGTATTGCTGATAGCCTGGCCTACATGCGAAATGTACCTGGGGTGGCATAAATTATTCTGATGTTGGTACTGTGCCTAATGAAGTATTGTCAGTTAGTACCTACATAAGTCTCTATCACCATTTGGTACCAGTATACTACTACACCCAGCTGAACTCACCTCGTATACCCCACTGATGTACTTCAATCGCTCTAGAGCGGGCACAGTAGTATTCGGCGACCACTGCTAGAGGCTTTAGCGGAGAGAGAAAAAATGATAGATGAGATGGAGGTAGTTCGATTGGCCACGGAGCTAGATGTCTAGAGTAGGCTACATGTAGGTACACATATGTAGAGTAGAGTACATGCTTCTCTAGTCTTCTTGAATAGATTTAGCTACATAAACATGAAGTCACATCTTCCACATCTCCGGTTACTCTAGCGTCTTTCTCGGATCCAGTTATGCAGACCCCATATCAACTTATTTTGTGTCAAAAACCTGGTTTCCCCCACTCTCTAGCTCACCAATCAAACGCCGCCTCTGCCTCTTCTCGAGAACAGAATGGGTGCATAAAAGCTGTGGAGGTTATTACATGTAGTATACATGTATGTTATGCAAGCGTCTACTCTCGACCAAGAAAGCGTTGACACCGTTGAGATAAACCCGTACCTACCTATAGTGATGAATCATAGAACAAGGCAAAACCTATGCATCCATCGCATAGAAAATTATAACAGCAAGGCAGAAAAAGGCAAAGAAAGCTAAATAACTTGTGTGTGCATCTAACTATCTCCAGAGTAGATATTCCGACCTACATATACATCCGCAACCACACCCATACAGAAAGATAATTCTGCACGCGAGGCTACGTGTTGAAAGTATGTAGGTCTCAGTCTCAGTCTCGGTTTCGGTCAGGTCTCAGTCAATCTAGCACCCCACGTGTTGCGGAAAAAGCAAAGTGGGAAATCCGTCGCTCTGGATGCGGAAAGTGAGAGAAGTCAATTGATCAACAGATGTCAAGGAACCAACCCCCACACGACGGTGAGATTAGGAAATGAAATGTATATCGCCGAAGGAGTACTACATGATGTGATGTGACCCCCAAATATGTTGGATTTTTTGTGTACTTCTATGTATGCAGTTTTTCACCCATAACACAATCGCAAAGCAAGGAGAGAAATAGATATAATGCAATCAACAAAAGGAAAAAACGATAATAAAACCCGCAAGAGAAAGGAAAAAAAAAAGATCCCAAAATCGCTCAAAGGTTGCTCCTGAAACCATATGTAGATAGGAAAGAAAAACCCCAATGAATAAGAAAATAAATAAAACACCCTTAATAAACACCTCCGTATTAACTATAACCAATATGCAAAAAAAAAAAAAAAAAAAAAAAAGGTACAAGTTCAAAATTCTATATCGCCCAAATCAAGTATTCTTCGGAAAAACTCTTCTCGTTCCTCCCTGCTTCCCCAAATCTCCCATCTCCAACCTAGGGGACCCAAACTGCAGCTGCTGCACCCCCGGCTGCACCTCAACTAACTCTCCCGGAATAACAAAGGGCTCATCTCCCAGCCCCATCTCACCGCTGACGCTGCCGCCCGTCAACCTGCGTTTTCGCGCGCTCACTTTTCGGACCTCGCCGATCATCCCGTCAACCCACGCTTGGTCCTGTGGGGAAATAACAGTGTTCTTGCCCTTCGGCCCAGCCAGACCCAACGGTTTGGGTGGTGGTGCCTCCGTTGAGCTGCCAGCTTCGGACGGGTCAAACGCTGACTCGCTAAATGACAAGCGGGACGCAGATCGCCGGAGAGCGCCGTGTGAAGATCCTGGTCGACTCACTGGCGGTGGTGCGCCCTGCCGACTGGGCGGTCGGATTGCTCCTTGCCCCCTGCTTGGTGGTCGAACTGCGGATTGCCCTCTGCTGGGCGGCCGGATTCCGCTGGGCGGTGACATGCCGTTTTGGGGACTAAATGCACACTGTCTTTGGTATGCTAGGGGCTGGAATGGCGTCAAAGTTGGGCGGTCCTTGGTTCCGTCATGACCACCTCGCATGGTAGGCGGGCTATTGACAGTTGCTGGTTGGACGAGAGATGAACTTCGTTCCCGTCCTCGAACACCCAATGATGACCCTGGACGGTTGTTGCCCATTGATGAACTCGGACGATTGCCTAATGATGAACCAGGGCGATTGCCCAATGACGAGCCGGGCCTGACACCCAGTGCCGAGTTTGAGCGGGATCTAAGACCCACCGCTGAAACGGAACGGGAGCGGCCTCCTGGCGGTGAGCCCGACCTGCTTTGGCCTGGAGCGGGACTGTTGCTTCGCAGGGATGATCTGGATCTGGCTGCGTGCAGTGAGTGATGCTGTGCACCACCGCCGAGGTCTTGAATCTCAATGCCACCTCCGGAAACAGTTCGTCTCTTTGATCCGTGGTGTGCGGCGTACTCTTTGAGATACTCAGCCAGGTCGGCCCATCCGCCACCAACACGGACCATAACCCTCTCGCCTCTCTCTCCTACAAGACGAATGTAAAGCTTGATAGGTGCCTGACCGTTATCACGGTGGAGATGGTAAAGTTCGATACCAGCTGAAGCATTAGACACGTGCCTTCTACCACCACGAGGGGCAAATCCGGTAGCATCAGAGACCACGGAGCTGCCGGCGACAGATTTTGGTGCTGGTATACTAGAAGGAGGGAGCTCAAACGGCCTCAAAGGACCTGATCGTTTCGACGCCTCTGTAAGCTTCTGGAGGTTCGAAGCCGTAAGACGAATCGGGGATTTAAGTGAGGTCAAAATATCATTGACCTTATCGTCCAGACTTGGTTGTGGGAACTCCAATTTTGGGGTCATGGTAAACGACTGAGAACCATCTTCATCATCTTGCGGGTTCTTCTGGTACAATTTCCTGCTCCTTTCTGGTGTGACAGTATCAATCTTCGCTGGCCGAGGAATTTGTCTCTTCTGAACGTTTAGCCTTGGCACGCCAATATCCGTAGGAGGAGATGAGTTGCGGTCGGGGGTGAGTTCGTTTGACCGTGCCCATCGCTGCTCGCTAATGACGGATCCCTCATCGTCACTGTCAATCTCCTTGTGTGGACGACGAATGGCCTTAAGTGCAGGCCCTGTCTTTGTTGGAGTTTTTGTCGGAGACCTGGATCCCGTCCTCACTGTGGAACCCGGGGAGATGTAGTGTCCAGTCGAAGAAAGAGATCTTGGCTTTGCCATGTCAAGTGGGGCCTTTCTGATCAGCTTTTGTGATCTTTCGACCTTTATAGGAGCCTTTGGTTCGGGGGTGGTGCTCCGCTTGGCAAACTTATCTGTGTCAATATAATTCTGTAAATCAGAACTCAGGTTACATACCCTATTTTGCGTAGAAGCTTCCCGGTTTCCAAGCCCCAAATCCAAACTGATAGGCCCCACCTTGAATTTGTCGTTGAAGGAGCGTCTTCTAGCGCTTGGGCTATCTTGCACACTCAGTCCTCCTTTCAACATCAGATCGCCTGATTTCCCTGACTTCTTTGAAGGTGTACCAAATGCATGAGTGTCTGACGGAAAACTTCCATCACGGGGCGAGTAAGGCGTCTGGACTTCCGTAATACTATCCAGTCCACCTAACGTCCCTGGCCGCCTCTTGGGCTTTGGTGTAGACGTTGCAACAGGCGCCACTTCAAAATCTGAGATGTCTTCTGCATCGTCATCCTCCGTAGGATAGCCGTTCGCGTCGATTCTCAGATTGGAGGGGGAAGATCCGCCGGCGTACGAACCTGATGGGCTGTCATCTTCGAAAACGGGAGAGTTTGCTACATTATCCCATGTCCCATTGGCAGTTTTGGGTGTGCCTGTATCTTCAAAATCGGACCTATCCCCAGGTGTTGAGGGAGCTATAAGGATACAAGGCAGGCCGTCAAAAGAACTATCCGATAGTTCTTGATCGGAGCTTTGCCTAGTCTGAGGAAGTTCATATTCTCCCGAATCATCTTAGAAAAGTCAGTATACTGCCAACAAGAGGATAAAAAACACTTACCATTGCCATTGAGTGCTTTTTGTAAAGAGAGGTGAGCGGCTAGGTTCTCGACTGCTACCAGATCTTCCTCCAGATCCGAGTATGACTCAGAGATATTTCCCTGTGATTTTGACATATCCGGGGAGATTTCTGGGCTTGTTGATTCTTGTGACCATGGTGTAGGTGGGACTTCCTTATTCGTTTCGGGAGTTTTGTATTTTGTCTGGTGCAGAACAGATGATGATCGTGAAGATATAGGTGTTAAGGTTATAGATGGAGGAACAGATGGCTGGTTTTTCCGTGCTTCCGCATATGCCATATTCTCACTCCCAAGACTCCCGGAGTCCTCATCGGACTCTTTGAAAGGAAGTTTAGTGAGCGAAAGATCTTGGTAATCCTCGGTAATATCATCTCCCGAGAGGAAATCTCTCTCTGAGTTGGGATTACGGTGGTTCGAGAACTGTGCCTGCCTCTGCCTTTCTTCCTCCTCCCTCAACCGCTCCGCCTCAAGCCTATCATTTTCAATTCGCTGCTCCATTGCAAGTCTTTCTGCTTCTTGGGCCGCGAATCGCTCCTGCTCCCGCTTCACCAAAGCCAAGTCTTCTAATCTTTGCCGCTCATCTTCAGCAAGACGTCTTTGGAGATCCATCTCTTCGAAAGTGAGGCCCGATTCATTTTCGGCATGTGCAAAACGCTTCTTTTCTATTTCTTCCTCGTGGGCCCATCTCCTCTCTTGAGCGGCGATCTGCCGGTGGATCTTCTCTTCCTCTTGCGTGGCCTGCTTGTATGCTGCTTCCTCGTTAATCTCCCAACGCCGTTCTTGCTCAAGGGCTTGGAGACGCTCTCGTTCTAGTTCTGCGGCGAGCTTTTTATCCTGCATCTCCTCCTCAGCCTTGAATCTTGCTTCAAACTCGGAAATCATTTTCCTCTGTTCTTTCTCGTCAATGGCTTGTTGTCTCTGGTATTCAGCTTCTGCCTCAAGGGCTACCCGTTTGATCTTAGAAATCAGCTGAAATTGCATTTCATCATCAGAGTCCATTGAATCGTTGAAAGTAGCAAGTTGTCGACGTATATTTTCGTCTTCCTTCTCCCTCTTCCTTTCTGCTTCAGCAATGGCCTCCCGAGCTTCCATCTGTAACTGGGCGTTGAGCTGGCGTTCCGTTTCTGCTTCTGCTTCAATTATTGCCTGCTGCTCAGCCATTTGTCGTTGAATCTGTTCATTGATCCTTCGCTCCTCCTCCTCTATGCGCTCCATATCTTTCTGTTCCTGCTCTCTGACCATTCTTTGAATTTCTTCGTCGCCTATAGCACGCTGCAATTGTCTCTCGAGTTCGGCTTGGATTTCAGTCTCTACTTCAGCCTCAGCAGCCAGACGGACGTCATCTAGGTCTGCGACTCGTTTGTTCTCGGATCTCTGAGCTTCGGCGATTATCTGTGCTTCTGATTTAGCTAATTTATTCTGCTTAGTTTCGGCGGCAAGTCTTACCTGCTCTTCCTGTTGACGCTCAGCCTCCTCAGCAGCTGCGATAGCGGCAATTTGTTCAGATTCGAGCTCAAGACGGGATGCTTCCAGAGCAGCGAGACGTTGAATCTCAGCTTCCTGTTCGACCTTCAATCGATCAAGCTCCAAAGTTATGAGTCGCTCGTTCTCGGCTTCCTGTTCAATGGCCCTGAGACGGTCAACTTCAAGCTTTACCATACGTTGATGTTCTTCCTCCTCTCGCTCAGCACGTTCGGCTTCGATCTTTGCTAGTCGCTCGAGTTCAATTTTGCGCTGATGCGCAACATCTTCCTCGGCAAGTCTGACTGCATCAGCGTGAAACTCGGCGTTCCGTCGAGCTTCTTCCTCAATAGCCTTGCGACGTTCATCTTCAAGTTTGAACACGCGTTGACGTTCTTCTTCCTCCCGTGCAGCGTTTTCGGCCTCGATAACGGCAAGGAGTTCAAGTTCGGCCTGACGTTGGCGCGCAGCTTCTTCTTCGGCAAGTCTTATTGCTTCGGCTTGAAGTGCAGCGTTGATCCGAGCCTCTTCTTGTATGGCCCTCCGGCGGTCATCTTCGAGGGTACGCTCTGCTTCTTGCATCAGGGCGTGGGCAGATGCTTCCTCTGCACGTCTAGCCTCCTCTACGGCTTCAGCTTCTAGGACAGCAAGACGTTGGATCTCAGTTTGTCGCTCCTCTTCAGCAATATGTGCAGCTTCAATCTCGGTGAGGCGCTCGAGCTCTTCTTGGCGCTGTTTTTCTGCTTCCTCTTCAGCCTTGAGGCGGGCAGATTCCTCTTCAAGGACCCGTAGACGCTCAGCCTTTTCCTCAGCTTCAGCCTCTAACCTTGCAATCTCAAGGGCTGCAGCTCTTTCCTCTTCTTGACGTTGACGTTCTGCTTCCTCTTCAGCCCTGATGCGCTCGGCCTCAATCGCAGCGAGTCTCTCAACCTCTGCTTGTCTCTCTCGCTCGGCTTCCTCCTCGGCGAGTCCTGCCTCGAGCCTGGCAGCTTCTTCGGCGGCAAGTTGCTCAATCTCCGCCTGTCGTCGCTGCTCTTCTTCGGCTGCCAGACGGGCCATTGCAACGGCCGCAACTCTCTGAACTTCTATTTGACGTTTTGCCTCTAATTCCTCCTTAGCGAGTCTCAGACGCTCTGCTGCGACATCGGCCTCGGCTTGACGTTTTCGCTCCTCTTCCTCGAAGTGGAGTCTTTGGCGCTCTTCTTCGGCAGCGAATCTTTCGGCCTCTACCTGTCGTTCGCGCTCCTCCTCCTCGAAGATTAGTCGTAGGCGTTCATCTTCGGCTTCTTCCTCTCCCTTGATACGGGTAGCTTCAATGGCGGCGAGTCTTTCGTCTTCTTCTTCAATGAGTCGTAGACGTTCAGCCTCAGCTTCCTCTTCAGCTTCAAGACAAGCAGCCTCAATGGAAGCGAGTCTTTCACGTTCCTCTTCCTCTTGAATCATTTTAAAGTGTTCGGCTTCTTCCTTGGCCTCGATACGTGCCGCTTCAAGAGCAGCAAGTCTCTCAGCTTCGGCTTCCTCTTGAATCATTCTAAAGCATTCGGCTTCTTCCTCGGCTTCGATACGTGCCGCTTCAGCAGCAGCTAGCCTCTCAGCTTCGGCTTGCTCTTCAGCTTCGACGTGAGCAGCTTCTTCAGCGGCCAGTCTGTCACGTTCTTTTTCTTCTGCAATCAATCGCAGGATCTTGGCTTCAGCGTCCTTCTCAGCCTGTAGTCGTGCAGCTTCTTCCACGGCAGCGAGTCTTTCAGACTCAGCTTGCCGTTCCAGCGCTGCCTCCTCTTCAGCGAGTCTTTGACGCTCAGCTTCGGCTTCGGCTTCAGCTGCGAGTCTATCCATCTCCGCGCGGCGTTCACGTTCTGCCTCTTCTTCGGCTTTAACTCGCATAGCTTCGGCGACAGCAAGCCTTTCAACCTCTGCTATACGTTCCTGCTCAAGTAGCGCTTGCTTTTCGGCTTCAAACAGTCTGCTTCGTTCCTCCTCTTCTTCCGCCATTTGTTGACGAGCTTGTTCTGCAATGATCGATGCCTCCTGAGCGAGGAGTCTCTGGTGCTCTGCATCGGTAGCGAGATTAACTGCCTCAAGTGCAGATACCCGTTCAATCGACGCCCGTCTTAGACGCTCTTCCTCCTCTTCCTCTTCAATCTTAAGACGGAGTTCTTCCTGTGCCAATCGCTCCTGTTCTTCTTCCCGTGCCTTCCTTTCCCGCGCTTCCTCTTCTATCATTCGCTTGCGCTCGGCTTCCGCAACCTTTTTCCTTTCCTCCACTTCTCTGGCCGCCCGCTCTACTTCTCTGAGTCGTTCTGCCTCCGCTAGCTTCATCTTGACCGCATTTATCTTCTCGGTGCGTTCCCTCTCTGCCTCTTCCAGCTTTGACAATCGTTCGGTTTCTGCGTTGACCGCCTCGATCATTTCCCGCTCTTCCTCCTCCTTCTTTCGCGCCTCCTCCTTCTTGGCCTGCTCCTCCTTCTTTGCGCGACTTTTCTTACTTTCTGCCTTTGGAGATTTGAAGAATGAGCGTGCAGCGGCAAGGATATTGACTTTGGGCTTGGGAGTGGTCTTTTTGACCTCCTTTGCCTCCTCCTGTGTATTCTCGGCTTCCGCGCGTTTTGGTGTTTCAGGAGACGGTGGTTCGCGGCGGGCAGTTGCTGCAAAAACTTGTGCTGTTGGCGGAAGTTTCGGGACCGGCATACACGGCATTGAGGGCTGTCTCCGGAGGAGTGGCGGGCCGTGTTGGAATGCGGCCATGAGAGCTGGTGTAGTCATTGGGGTATGGAAGGGAGTTGAAGATTGGCGCCGGAGTGGCGGTTGGTCTCCGAACATGAGAGATGCTGGGAACTGGATTGTAGGAGTTGCGGATCCTCGGCGCGAAGAGGAGGCCTCTGAATCCGGTTGTGGGGGGAATGGAACCCTCGGCGTCGGCATAGGTGTGTGGAATTGTGTGGGTGTTATGGAGCCATCAGAGTCTGAGGTTGTTGCCTGGTTTAGTGCGGTGATAATTCCAGGTGTGGGCATGGGAGTGTAGTAGTCTGTTGCTGTGGAGCCCTTTCGGAGCTGATCGTGATCCTGCATAATGCCCGGTGTGGGCATGGGTGTGTGGAAGGCTGTTGATGCCTCGGGTTGGGCGTTGTTTCCGAGTGATAGCTCGTGGTCTAGCGCTGGGAATGCATCGATAGAGCTACTTCCACCCCCATCTATCCGAAGGCCTCTCCTTGATCTCTCAAACACGTCGGCATGACGCACATCTTCCGCCTCACTATCAGAATTATCCCTAGAGAACAATCTATCCTTCTCTACGCCCTCGAGTCTCATTAATAACTCATCCATCTCTCTGGGCTCATAGTCGTTCTCGTCACCACTTGCGTCCTCATCGTAATTATCTCCGACAAGTTCGATATTCTCTGTGACATCCTCATTTGCCTCCATTGCTTCCCGGAGACCTCGCTCTGTCTCTTCGGCACGCTCCATGACGCTCTCTGCCACGCACTCGGCGCCCCTTGCTTCCTCCGCGTACCTCTCCTGCTCTTCAACGAGTCTATTTCTTTCCATCTCTCGTAACAGCTCTTCCCTCTTTGTTTCCCTCTGTCGCAGCTCTTCCAGCCTTAACTTCCCGGCAATGACAACCCGTTCACCGTCCATCTCCCACGCACCCACCCGTTCCTCAACGTCCTCTAACTCCGTGATCCACAGGTCCGGCAAAACGTCTTCGCGGCCCTCCAGTGCATCCAGCATAGTATCCATCAGTCTGCCGGCTGTCGCGACCTTTGCTGTAATAGTTTCCTGCATTAGTCCGAATGTCGATTCTTCCAGCCCGCGCCACTCGTCATCGGATGTGTCCTGAGAAGGCGCTATGCTAGGGTGGTTGATCGCCGCGTATCCAGCGTCGAGCGAGTCTTTTGCGATCTGGAGCCATCGCAGGAAAACAGGTACAAGTCGGAGGACCGCAAGTCGGACCGCCCAGACGGAGAGCAATTTTGTGAGGCGATGTAGAGGCGGGAGGAGTTGTAATGTTATGGCTGTGATGATGGCCGAGGAATCGGTAAGTGGGTTGGATATTCCGGTGCGATATGCTGACGCGATGGGTTAATTAATTAGATCAAGAGCGATATATGAGGGTTTACAGGGGTAATTTACCAAGGACTTTGCTCTTGAGGGCTTCAACGTCAAGCTCTTCGATCTCGGATTTGATTTGTTCAATCCTTTCGAGATACTGCTCGATCGTAGTTTTTTTCAGCGAGCCGCAGTACTCGCTCTCGTCAATTTCCTCCTCATCCTCCTCGTCCGTGGACTCTCCGTCGTACTCGTCATAAAGTGGCCTGTTACCCTTTGAGGGTGTCACAGCTGTACCCGCCCGTTGCTTCTGCAGATTCAACTGATATGGCGTGGGCGGTTTTGAGTTCCTCTTTTTTATCAACAGGTTCCTCGCTTCCTCCTCTTCCGAATCCTCGCCTTCCTCATCCTCCTCCGCAATGGATCCCATCTCGGTTCCGACACTTATTATACTGACTTTCCTTCGTTTCTTGGGCCGCGGCGGTAGATATCCATCGCCGGCGTCCCGACCCTTTGATCGTCTCCATTGCACATTCCAGCCCTCGACCTCGCGCAGCCATTCCCCGACTCTCACGATACCCTCCGCGGCGCGAATACTCCATTCTTTTTCTGCGGGTGTGAAGCCGAATTCTGGGTCATTTGAGAGCCGAGCGATCGTGGCCGGGGTTAGGCGAGATAGCAGCGGGTCGTTGGCGAGGAGGCTTTGTATCCGTGTCTGCCGGGATGTGCGGGTCGGCGATCCGGCGGGACTAGAGATGTTGCTACGGGCCGGCGATGTTAGGGTTGACCGAGGGGGGCGGTAGTAGTGGCTTTGGATAGGGAGAGTTTGAAGGATTGGGGTTTCTGGGGGCGACATAAGGGTTTGTGAAGTGAGTGGAGAGGGGTTGGAGGGGCGAAAGAGAGACGTCATTATGGAGGTAAGTGATAGTGAAACCGATAGTGATAGTGATAGGGACGAGCTGTGCACAGGTAGGGAATTGTTATCTCTCTCGGAGGTGACGGACGTTACGATGAAGACTGGTCTGGTCTGGGGGGAGAAGATTCAGATTATTGTAGAGTACACGGGCCTCTCAAGGAATGCTCAGTAGCACAATTCGTATTGTATAACTTGATTGAAAGACTGATTGGGCTGGACTGACTGACTGACTGAATGCTTGATGATGTATGTCTGTCTGTCTGCCTGTCCGCCTGCCTGTATGTATGTCCGTGATATCTGCCAGTGTATATGCAGCGGCTCGAACAAGGCAATAAAAATAAAATAAAAAACTATCGCAAATAGATAAATGAAAGAAAAAAAGACAGCCCTCCTTACTCCTGAAATAACACACGAACTTAACAAGTCAAGCAAGCAGGAAAGAAAGAAAGAAAGAGAGAGAGAAAGGAAGCCTACAACCCTCCCTCCCCCCCCACAAGCAAGCACAAGGGCAATTAGTTCGCGTGTCCGCCAGCGTGTGGGCTACCCGGTTCCCTCGATGACGACTGGCCGATCACTGGGCGAATCAGAGGAAATATGCGCGTTGTGGGTGTAGGTGTAGGGATCCTTAGTTGTGCTGATGGTTTTTGGGAAAGGACTGCATCATCATCGTACATGGCGGCTACAGCTGTGGGAGGAGGTGCGAGTTGAGATGTATATAAAGAACGAAACAGAGGCAGATGAGACGAACGAGAGACAGAGGGACACGACCGACGAGTCAAGGGAAATCGGGAGAGAATCGTTTATCCCAGCTTACCCGTCCGTATCCGGAGCGAGGCCGTGTAGATCGCTCATTTATTTCGCGCCCACAACCACCACCACCAGAAGCTCTACCTACGACTCGATCTCTCTACCAGTGCTCTGCGCCGAGAGAGAGCTAGTAGGCGCACTAGTAAGTGTAATGTAAATGTCATATCGGTATGGTGGTATGTAGGGGGAATTAAACAACCGTTTCTGCCTGTCGTGTCCCCGTATCCAATCTGCCAGCAATTGTTTCCCCCACCCTCCTCCGCCCACTTGATGAGCTGGAGCTGAGACCCCCCTCTCAGCTTCCACCATTCGTTGGCCACGGCTCACGACAGCGCGTTGTCATTGACAGGGGTTGCTTACCAGGGGTGCGGTGTGGTGTCTTGGTGGTCTTGGCCGATATGAGGTCTGGATCTAGACAAAAAAAACCCATCCCAAATTTAGGCGAACGAGAAGGTCCTCGCTAATATGGAGGTTCAGGCGATGGGGGATAAAGGTCATTTAGTTCATATGGGAACTCGGTGTACCAGGGCCGGGAGCTTCGTCTCCAAATCTCCGGCATTTGTTTGTTTTTGGGGGCGCACAGACTGATTGAATTGACTGATTGACCTGATGTGCTCGAGTTGGGGGGTTTCAGCCGAGAGCTCACGTGTGTGCGCTGGGATGCTCGAGTGAGGTTTCGTGATTGTAGTGAATGAGGCTGGGATTGTATAAATAACAAGACTGGTGGTAGAGTATCAAAAGTGTAGGCAGTATTTTTGAGATACGAGGCTGTGTGGCACGAAGGCGCAAAAATCTGGTTGAATGAGATGAGACATTTGGTCTAGCCTAGTTTTTGTATTCTAGAAGATGCCATATCGATCGTTGGCCTCATCCCGCGCTCTTAAAGCGAATGTACTCGTCATAGAGATATTCTTATGCAAGGCAACACCACAGAATTCCTTGAGCGTACATACATATCCCAAGCTAGCGGGATTCGCATAAATTCCGATAGGTTATAAATCGATAGCCGGTTTAGATCATTGCGCTGTGTGAAGATCATGGGGTGATCTGATATTTGGTAAACTTTGAAACAGTATCTTCACTAAAAACTGGTGCATCATTGTCTAGCACCGAACTTTGGTTTCATAGGTAGTAAAATCAAGATTAGAAGCCCCGGTTTGCGAGCTCTAGTCTGATTGGATTCATCCTTGATTATAAAATCTTCACAACGCCAACGTTTCTGTGCCAGTAATACGTCATCGCAATTGCGCAATGAGCATCAGAGGGCTTTCTGAGTAAGGCTGTTCGAGACTAAATCGGTCTGGCCAATAATAAACGATCAGTCCGAAAGAAAAAAAAATGGCCTATGAATTGAATTCCTTCAAGTTTCTGGATAAGGTTAGTATAGCTCTATTATCCAAACTGGTAGTTCCTGTGTGCTGAAGTAGGGTTGTCGTTCGGCGCTGTAACGCCATCTTTTATACGGTGAGTACCACGTCACTCAGTGCTAAGCCTTTGCTGAATATTGCCATGAACAGATAGTTGTCGGTCTAAATTTAAAACGGACCCGTTCAAAGCAGTGCTTAACCTCGTACGGCACACGAAAGAAATATAAAAGAGCGGCTATGGTCCACCGGCAAACATATATAAACCAGGAAGATGAACATCAAGTGCTATTGAGTTAGTTCCAGACCGTATGGGAGGATTGACACTTGAGGCATATTCCTCAACGGGCGAAACATTCCAGGAAGATCTTTCTATTGTGGATACTAAGAATTAAAGTCCTAATACCCGTCACCCAGTGTATAACCTCCGAGCTCCGATTGATCAGTCACTATCCATTTAGTATTGTTCTATTGAAATTTGAAACATAATCAGTATATTTTTGAAAGATTAGTACACTCTGTTGTGTATGTAACACTCGTCAGGGCCCAATATTATGCAAAGAGGTATAAATATACTCCCTGCCTAAAGGTATATTTCCCAATAGTGTTTTGTTTTAATTTGCTCTATTGCTTCTTTTCTTTCTTTGTTAATTCATCAGGAAGGGGAATTTCATGAGTTGATTTCCCTAAGCCATTTATAATTCTGGTGCTGGTGTCTAGTTAGTTGCGTCGAGAACGCCGAGACGATAGTCGATACTTGGTTGAGATATCCAAAGCTTCGAAGGAAGCACAGGGAGCCTGTTCCGCGAGGAATCTGATAGAATATCCAACAATCGCTACATTAATAGTGTAGGGAGTGCACTGACTACCCCATCCAGAAAGACTGCCTACGGCTGAGGCTAGACAGCAGCACTTTAGCTGAGCCTATCTATTGCCCGCACCGTAGATATATAGAGTTGTTCTCCGGTACATGGTAGCTACCCTTGAATTTTTAACGAATTGGCGAATATATCCTTATAGTTGATACTGCAACGAGAAGCCATTATCGTGCCTTTGTATTTGTTTCTACATCAGGGTAGTGCGTGCGAGTGTAGCCAGCTAGCTATCGAGAGCTCTAGACCTTTCCAACAAAGACTGCCCGGAGGGAGGGTCTCAGGAACCATATCTGAGGTCTAAATTATGAGGTGAATGGAGTATTGGAAGTCCTAAAGGTGGCCAAGTCCAGTTCACCGCCATCGACTTTGGACCGGCTTAAAAAATCATATCCTCTGGTAATATTTCGGAGAGGGAAAGTAATATACCTACCAGCAGAGAAAAGGCGCTTCCAGGAACCTTCTATATATACCTCAACTATTATAGGTACTAATTGGTAGTAAGCCTGGTCAAGTCAAACTGAACATCTGAATTAGTCCATGCGGATAGCTCGTTCATAACTTTTACCCTTGAGGACCATGGATGGACTCTTCCCTTTAAAGCTGTAATAGGTTTCATATCCGTGGTTTTAAAGACCATACAAGAAAAGTATCCTTGGCTAACTGGCTATTCTGTGTAGTTGTTATGGCCTATCCAGCAGTTTGGTTGGACGAGAAACTTCAGTTCCCCACCGCATGGAAAGTGAGCCGTCTTAGATACTCCACGGGCACAATATGAGCGGTGCGTGCCCCACCATCTCGAACGAACATATTTCACCCGGCAATGTTAGCAGAGCCAAAAGTACATGCACCCGCCCCGCTCCTTGGCGCAGTAGCGTGTGCTGCTCCGAGGCTGCATCTACCGGTTAACCGCCTAATGTCGTTCCTAAAAGGTCTCGAGAACAGGACAGTGTATGCGTTGACTTCATTTATTTGAGGCCATTGATACTGGGGATAAGAATTTTGATGATAGCGGCGGTTTTGACGGAGACGATGACTGCGCTGATGCGGACGGAGAAGAGGGCGATGAGGGGGGAAAAGATGGTGGTTGTGGTAGTGACGGTGTTGGGGGAACGGGGTGGCGGGGTAGCGGGGCAGCAGTGGTGGTGGTAGTGGTGGTGGTGGTAGTGGGAACAGGTGACGCTATAAATACCACCACAAGCTACCCAACCTTTCATCATGATGAGACAAGACAACTACACCAGGGCCAGATCTCGCCAGCCCTAAGATGTCCTGCCTAATCAGGTATTTTCTGTCTCTTACGCCCCGCCCTGTTACCCAGACGATGCAAACTTGCGCTCCGGCTGTGTTGAAGGGGGGCTCCCTTTCTATTGACTCCTACTTCACACTACCACTTGGTTTCGATATTGGAGATACCGGCGTTATGGCGTACGTTGGCACCTTCTGCCAAGTTTAACGTCTTCTTTTCAGCTCTTTATCAACACAGAATAAAGTCAAGCCCGGCATCAGCACAGACCGAGCTCATGGTACCGCGAGAGAGATGGTAGGCCCATCCTCAGCCCCCGACCCTACTCCTACTACTAGGTAGGCCTAGAAGATCGAGAGCTGGCTCTTCTGAGCCTTTCGCCATCTTGGTTACTTTTCGGCGAAACTGTCAGTGTCTTTAGGGCTCAATTATTCCGTTAACATCTGGAGGCAGTCGCTGGATTATAGTGTGTTGGTGGGATTGACGGCCTGCATGGTGACCATCTCGCCGTCTCCGGATTTTCCCCGCCCCCGTCACAATGCATTATGTTTCGCTAGACGCGCCCAAAGGTTGTATAGTCGCGAGCTCAAGCCGGCTTAACTAGCATTGAAACCATACTCGACCAGGATGCGACACTCTTTGTTTCAAAGACACCGCCTATCACTAAATAGAGCATGGCCCACAGGTTGAGCCAAGTCAATGTTTTAGCAGGCCAAACCCCCAAGTCGAGTCAATATTCGGAATGAATACTGGAGTACTGCGGAGCATGAACACCAAATAAAACTTTACTTGGATACTAACCGGGGGGATTCCAGGTCATTCGCTGATGGAGAAGCTTCAAAACTAGAAAGTTCGATGGGGCAGCTTAGTAAATATTCGATCTAGCGCAGTGCTAGAGATTGAGATGATTCGTGCTGCACCAGAATGCAAATATCAAGAGTCCAAGATTTTAGAAAAGCCTAAAGCTCTCCGAGCTGACTGGCGTCGGCATCCGGGCACAGTGAACATACTCGGGTCCTTGTTAGACAACAGGCGACCTATAAGTCAAATTTTCAGGCCGTTGATACTGTCCTGAGTAAGTTAAAAGAGAGTTATAACGGTGGTGATATATATGGGCTGAGCCGGTCTTTTTTTCCGTGGGGGCCGGAAGTGTGGATTTACTAACAACTTGACTCAAGAAATTCACCACTAACCACAGGCTTCAGTTTATTATGTCTTGTTAGCCACCACGAAAAAGGGTCGCGTCGATAGCTTAAGCCTTAAAAGATAGAGATGTCCTCTGGGACAAGACGTGCTGGGCTGAGATAGGAGTAAACATGGTTCCGTCCGGCCTAGTGTGGTACACGAGCGTTCTCAACCCTAACCAATCAACCGCTGACCATAGCCAAAAACTAAGCAACCACTCACCGTATCCCTAACCCTAACCAACCAGAGAAGAAGATTAAAAGCCTCCATTAAACGCTCGAGATTTCAAACAAAATAGTACATCTAACCATACTCTTGTTAAGAGGACAAACACCTAACATACACAGACTAGTTACGATTACCTTCGTGTATGAAGAAGTATTTACCACGATTACCTTCGTGTATGAAGAAGTATTTACCTAGAATTAGGCTCTCTCCCTCATACAACAATCACATCGGCGGAAAGCTCGAGCATGACAAGTCGAGCAAGGAAATAGGCTTTAGTAAGCCCAACTCACGATATACAAAGCTGCTCTAGGCTCAACTGGACGGAGCGGATTCGACCACATTTCGGTCAAATAATAAGCCTAAAGAGCTAAACATCGTTTTTTTTCCTTCAGGACCGAATAAGGATAGAAGGATGGGTTTTAGGCTGGACTGAGTGCACTACGGAAATTAACTCGATACGATTGACTAGACAAGAGATGTTCTAATTCACTACCAGTCTCGGGCCGCTGAGCGGAGAGTCACTGGGTAGAGGGCGTATTCTGAGCTGGTCGTCAGCGCCCTATTCGTCAGTATTGATACCTAGGACGCTAGATCTTTACACCAACGTTCATCACTGGCACGAAAAATTAGCCGCTGGGGTGGAATTCACCAGTTCCCCCAGTAGACAAAGTTAACGACAGGGACACTTTTTTAAACTAATTTGGTAAGTTAATTTATCTATCATGAGAGATGAAAAGGGCGCACACTCGGCCTTCATACAGAATTATCTCTTTCTTTTGTCGTTGCCATCATGCTTTGGCCTTTCCTTCTCTTTCCCGCGCTAGTCGTTGACACCATCCCATTGATCAATGGGTCGTCCCAGTCAAAAGCTGCGACGATTAGGGCGCATTAGAGAGTATTTACTAAGTGTCAAATTCGACAATTTACCCTTTAAAAATGACGGTTGCGGGAGGCAAAATTGACAGTTCCCCTCAGTGACCTAATTAACCACACAAGGAAGGTATGATAGGAGAAACTTTGTAGATAAATAATTCTTCACGCTTCCTGTAAAATACGCTGGCAGGATGTGAACTGCACGCACAACTACCCACGGTATAGTAAACGTCCCTAGGCGTATCCTACATCCCCACCCTAGCAAACCGGCAAGAATTAACGGTTCCGGCAACCACTTTTTAATGTGGCGAAGTGTAAATTGTTGGTTTTGACACTTGGTAAATCTCTCTATTGACCAGTAGGCTAGAACAGTGTAACCTGATGTCCGCTACTTGGCTGGAAATGATATTTATGACGCCAAGGCCAGATATGTGGAACCTAACCCTGTCGGGCGCACTCGGATTCGATCCCTCAAGCCCTCAGGCCAAATCAAAATCGGCTCTCGAATCTAAACTCGAGCGCGAGGAACAGAATCCTATCGATCACAACCTATTACGCATACTACGGACCACAACTCTCTGATTCACAATTTGAATCTAGGAGACGATTGCAATAAAGGGTTTGAGTGCTGCTAGCTACAATTCGGCATGACGGTTTAATTTTATCCCTTAGGCGGCCAGTCCGGATCGAAATCGTGACCGAACCAGATATAGTAGCTATGCTCTGCTGAGCGTAGTTTCTGTTTTTTTTTTTTCTCCGCGAGTTTCTTATCACACGCTAGAGAGCTCCGCCTGCTCCACTTGAGACAAGTAGAGAATGAACGGTAACTGCCGTTCAACTGAGCACACATTGCCATATCTGGTTCGGTCACGATTTCCATCTGGACTGACCATGACCGCCTAGGGAACAATAACTGTACTCTTGAGCACTGGAAACACTACACGCGCACTCTATCATGACGGACAAGGCGGTAGTCGAGATGGGTTTGGTGCATATGAAAGAGGACTAATCGCAAGTTGTCACAAAAATACCTGACCTGACGGTCCAGCTTGTTCAAAGCTTCAATGGGGCCTGAAGCGTCATGCTATTCATCTTAGGGAAAGCTTCCAGATAACCTGATAGCATCAATTGGTGCGCTTGAACGGGACGTATAATCCCCAAGGAAGTCTGTGGTTCAAGATATCACTTATTTTCCTTATCTGTTTCTATTCCCTTGTATTTCCACCTCTTTACTACATGTATATCGATCCTGTTGCGTGGATCGCTCGTGTCACTGAGGTTATTAATAAATCTAGTTAGAACTTACATGTAATTATACTTTAAGTTTACCTACCCACTGTCAGTTATAAAACGAAATCAACCGCTAGATGCAGCCCCCCAAGTGCGACATCTCTGCAGCTAGAAGCGGGCGTGCCCTGTTCATGGCACCCTATGTGTAGCAAGTGATGACTTTGGCAATCCCCTCAAGTCTGTGCGTGTACGTTCGTTCTCGCTTTCTACGAGCCCTGTACGGTCCTAAATGCCAGCATCCCGAGCCGGCCTAGTCCCGCTATCTTATCGCGCCTCCTTGGCCGGTACTAGCCAAGACTGCAAAATAGCAGGTTTGCACAATCATTGACACCTTGTTACGAGTTGCACAAAGCCAGGGTTAGGTGTGTCTCTAGGGTTAGGGTTACCGTCGATCAATAAATCCAAACAAGCACGATAGAATGCTAGTCTGCCTTTCTCCGGTCTGAGGCGGTCAGTATCGCAGAGATCGGGGGCCGCGGCGCCGTGTTGACTGTTCCGCTGCCACCAACTAATCATTGCCGTAGCCTCAGCTAGTAAGTACCACTTGCCAGATTGCCTGTGTTTGCATGCACGGCCAGCTGGTTGTGTGTGTAGCTGCATGTAGTATGGGGTTGTAGATGGATAGATGCCTTCCTTCCTTGCCTGGAGACACACCACACCCAGCTGCTGCTGTACTCAGTTCCTTCCCGTTGAAGGCCCGGGTTTGTCTCGTTGCACAGCGCTTGTGAACGCCCCCCCAAAGCGGCTAGGCCAGCCCCTTGCTGTTTCGCGTGCCCTTTCCCTTGAGCAGCTTTAAACTCGCCGACGTCAGTAGCGAGCGAGCGAGAGAGAGCACACAGCACACAGCACACAGTCACTCACCCCCGAATACACACCTCACATTATATAGAACACAAACACCCTCAACCCACCCCCCCCACACCCCCCCCACACCCCCCCACACACCCCCCCCCCCAATGGCGCACACCTACTCCGCAGCGCCCACCCGCGACTCCCTCGAGCTCGCCTCCCTCGCCTCCTCCTCCCCCGCCGACACCTCCCCGCGCTCCTCCACCTCCTCGCGCTCCGGCGCCGCCTCCTCCCGCCGCCTCTCAGCCTCATCCACAAACCCAAACTCCCCCACCGCCGAGCACCGCCCCCGCAACTTCCGCACGTACAGCGTCTCCTCCGCATTCGACTTCAACGCGCACCTCGTCCCCCTCACCACCTCCTCCTCCTCCGACGCCCGCGGCCTCGCCTCCACGTCCGCCGCTGCGCCGGGAACACTCGAGAAGCAGAAGACGCTGTCGTATCTGAATGGTCTATCATTGCTTATTGGCCTCCAGATCGGATCGGGCATCTTCTCGTCGCCCAGCCAGGTCAACAACCACGTACCCTCCCCAGGCGTCGCGCTCATCGTGTGGGCGGTGGCCGGCGTGCTGGCGTGGACGGGCGCCGCGAGCTATGCCGAGCTCGGCGGCGCGATCCCGCTGAACGGCGGAAGCGGGGTGTACTTGCGGCATTGCTTTGGCGAGCTGGCGGGGTTCCTGTACAGCTGGACGGCGGTGATAGTGCTCAAGCCCGGCAGCGCGGCGATCATTGCGATCATCTCGGGGGAGTATTTCAACAGTGTTGTGTTTGGACTACTGCCTGGAGGCGGGGGAGGGGAGGAGGGCGGGGAGAGGGGCCAGCCGAGTGAGGTGGCGAATAAGGTCACGGCGGGGGTGCTGCTGCTGCTGGTGACGGCGCTGAATATGTTTTCGACGCGGCTGACGACGAGGATCTCGGACTCGCTGCTGTTTCTGAAGGTGGGCAGTTTGTTGGCGATTACGGTCATTGGCATTGTGGTGGCGGCGACGGGGCTGAATGGCGATGGGAAGGGCGCGAGTCGGGAGTGGAGGGAGATGGGCTGGTTTGAGAGCCGGGAGAGCGCCGGGGGTGCGGGGGGTGCGGAGGGCGCGGGGGACACGGCGGTGGGCGGGTTGGGCGAGTATGCGATTGCGCTGTATGCCGGGCTGTGGGCGTTTGATGGCTGGGATAACGTGAGTTTTTCTTCGGGGGGGGGGGGGGGAAATGATATGAGGTGTGGTGGGGTGTTAACAGGGTGCCAATGATCACAGGTCAACTTTGTCACCGGCGAGATGAAGAACGCAAAGCGCGACCTCCCCCGCGTCATCCACAGCGCAATGCCCATCGTCATCACCTCCTACCTGCTCGCAAACGTTGCCTACTACCTCGTTCTCCCCGGCTCCACAATCAGTCAATCCAACACCATCGCCGTCGTACGTCCCCCTCCCCCTTCCCCCCTTCTTCACACCATCTAACACCGCATAGGCATTCGGCACCAAAGTCTTCGGCCCCATCGGCGGCCTCATCTTCGCCCTCGCCGTCTCCCTCTCCTGCTTCGGCGCCCTCAACGCCACCACCTTCACCTCCGGCCGCCTCGTCTACGCCGCCGGCAAAGAGGGCTACCTCCCCCCCATCTTCGGCACCCTCGGCCTCCGCCCCCCACCCACCGACATCCCGCGCCCCACACGCCTCCCCCCCTCCTCCTCCTCCACCCCGTCCCTCTGGTCACGCACGCTCTCGCGCATCCGCCCCCGCTCCAACTCCTCCGCCTCGTCGCACCCCCCGCCGTGGAGTAAAACGCCCATATACGCAATGCTGCTCAACGCCGCTATCACGGGCGTGTACATCGCTGCGGGCGAGTTCGGGACGCTGCTGACGTTTTATGGTGTCGCCGGGTACACGTTTTATTTCTTGACGGTGCTGGGGCTGGTGGTGTTGCGGGTGAAGGAGCCCGGGTTGGAGAGGAGTTATAGGACGTGGGTGAGTACGCCGATTGTGTTTTGCTGTGTTAGTTTGTTTTTGGTGAGTCGCAGTGTGTTTGGGAGGCCGCTGCAGACGCTGGTGGTGTGTGCGTTTGTGGCGGCGGGGGTGCCGGTGTATTGGTGGAGGGTGGGTGGCGGGATGGGGGCGGTGATGGGGGGGTGGTGGAAGGGACGGGGGTGGTGGGGGAGGGGACGGGGGTAGGGGTAGTGCGGTTTTATTGGGGGGCTGTTGGGATTTTTCTTTTTTTCTATTCTTTTATGGTTTTTCATATCGTTTTCCTGTGTTTATTATTTCCTTCCCCGCCCCCTACCCCCTCATCCATCATATCCACCCCGACCAGGAAACCCAACCGGCCAGGGCACCTCAACCCTTCCCTCCAACCTTCCCTTCAATTCAAAATTCAAGCTTCACGTAACACTCATGCACGAACACCGCAGAGAACCGTGGAGAAGCGTAGTAGTTAGTTAGTTAGTCCAGCCCTTCTTATCTCATCTTGTCTTTTCCGGCCTTGTCTTGTCACGTTAGAAACGCACGCAACGAAAAAAACTGTATGTTGGTGGTTTTAGTAGCAGTTAGTTAGTAGGTAGTTGGGGGGGGTGGTTGTAGAGTAGAGCTGATAATGATAGAATTGATGGCATTTTTTGTGGTTTTTGGTCTCGTGCGCCCGGGGGGGGGGGGGGGGGGTGCGTTTCCAGGCCAAAATATACATATCACCTGTTTTGGCCGGTACATACTAATAAATAACTTATCTGAGTGTGTGTGTATGTCTGGGTTGAGGTGAGTGAACCATGTTTTTAGGGTTGCTTAATTTACAGCACCTCGCCCGTTTAAAAAAATGAAGATAGAGGAGACTAGAAACTAGAGACAAAACCTAGATACTACAGCCCTTCAGAGTGCCGACACCTTGTCTTGCAGTTTCGACCTTCGTATCCTCGATGTAGAGTTTGATGGGGGCAGGTTTATGGCGCAGGTGTGGTGTCGCGTCATGGGGTATCACTCGACCATTTCCCGCGACGGTGTAAAAATTAAAAAGGTTTTTTTTTTTCTTTTGTTTGTTTAATTCATTAATCTTGAAAAAAGGTTTTTCTTGTATGTGTGCGGAAGACTTTTTGCTTGGGTTTTCTTTTCCTTTCTTTTAACTTTTGACGTGCCGTACTCTCGATCCCGTCATGCACACAGCTGTGAGCGGGAGGTTGGAGCTCTTTGGTTTTTTAAATTCTGTGCTTGCTTGTGTTTGAAAATCTGGGTGCTAAGGATTGACTGAACTGTGGGTGTGGCCTGGGCGGTTTTTTAATGGGGGTGTGTGTGTGCTGCTTAAGTGGAAGAGCTTGATGGGTGGAGGTGGCTATGGTGTAGGACTGTATCTTACCGTCTATATCAACAACCGTCGTCCATCCTTTCAACACTACATCCTTTCAACACCACATTCTTTCAACACCACAACCACAACCACAACCACAACCACAACCCTCCCCCCTCCATCTGCCGCAATACACTACACAACTACATGTATATAACAAAAGGAACGTAACCCCCCCCCCCCTCTCCCCACCTCCCCCTCCTCCTCCCCCCCCTCCCCTCCGCCCCTACAACCACAAGCACACCGTCCGCCGACCCCACGCTTGCCACCACAGCGGAACCGAACGGACGGGCCGGCTCGGCCCTCCGACCTCATCCTCGTGCACGTGGTGCCCATCTGCTCCAGCGGCCTGCTGGGTCCTCGTCTGGCTAGCAATGGGATCTGGTTTTTCCCCGCCACCCCTCGTCTGTTGGGATTGGTGTGGTGGGGGAGGTGGGAAAGGGGGGGGGGGGTGTGATGAGTGAGTGAGCGAGTGTTAATGATTTGGGGGTGGGGATAGGATCGTGGTATTGCGGTGGGCGCTGGTTTGGGCGTGGGTGTGGAGGCGGTGGAGGGTCGGGGGTGGTAGATGGCGATACTGCTGGCCGGCTGGATGGGTTGGATGGGTGGTGGGTTTTCTTTCATGGGTGTGAATGGTGGGTTGGTGGGTGGAGGCCTATAAATTCTTTCCTGCTCCCCTTCTCTCCCCGCTCCGCAACAATATCTAAGCTAAGGAAGGCGGCCTAGAGACTTCGCACGAAAGCCCAAGGGTGCAGCCACACCCACGAGGAACACCGAAGTTCTGTCTAGCTATGTAGCTTGGTGGCCGCATACTACTTGCAGTCAACAGCTATGGTAGATGGGTGTACCTACCTTCCTGCAGGTGTGCTTGAACTGCTAGATACTGCTAGTTGGGAGCTTCTCTGGGTTCTTTCCGTACCTACAAAATCACCTTGATACCTGCTGGGAGCTGCATGGGTTGTTGCTTAGAGCTGTCTTGTTTCTGTGTATAACATGGACATGGGAATGATCGGAGCACATCTGTGTAGCTACGTTACTGAGGGGGTGCATGCAGCTGCTGGTTAACCACCTATTTTGCTCTTTCGTGGGGTTTGCTGCGCTGGTGGGCGAGGCTTGCTTGGGGGAGAGATGGCAAGCTGGGTAGGCCGGAAAGTGGGTGGAATGCTGTGCGGTTAGGGATGGGTTCTCGTTGTTACTTAACTGGCTAGGCTGGGGCAAGGAATCGCTGGGGCGTGGTGATTTTGCCGTAACCGCTCCAATTACGGCGTTGTGGTATGTACGTCTGGGTGTGTGCCTTTGCTTACGAGGAAGATTCTACAGATAAAGGTCGAGATTGCAATGTCTGGCCCCTCCAACGTACTACATACACGCAGTTCTCTCCCACCGGCCGCAACAAACCATGCATGACGTCTTGAAATATAGAAATAACCCTTCACAACAAACTCATCCACCACAGAAATAAAATCATGTCCAAAGAAATCTTTCCAAACAGAGCCAACTCCACAGAAATACAAGCCGATCCTCTACCCCTCGAGTGAGTCATGAACCATCACTCGCCCCGCCGAAGTCCGAAGTCCCAATCCCGCCGCCCCGAATATATCCATGTCGAACGAGTGAGTTGTAGGTGGTCTCGTCTGCTTGGAGAATACCTTTTTAATGCAATTAGTGACAGATCTACGTGATATTTCTCGGAGCGAGTGTAATGTGCAGAGGGCCATCCATCTTCGTGTACTCACGTTATTTTTGCTCCTCGGGCTTCTCCAAGGCACCATTCTCTAAAAGGAGTTTTACGATGCCGTGATCTTCCTCACTCTTGGCTGCCTGCAAAGCGTTTCCGTAGTACCCTCCCTGGGCGTTGACGTCGGCACCATGCTCAATAAGAAGCTGCACATTCTTTTCGTTACCCCTATAAGCTGCTGCCTGCAAAGCGTTTCCGTACTTCCCTCCCTGGGCGTTGACATTGGCACCAAGTTTAATAAGAAGCTGCACGTTCTTTTCGTTACCCCTATAAGCTGCTGCCTGCAAAGCGTTTCCGTACTCCCCTCCCTGGGCGTTGACATCGGCACCACGTTCAATAAGAAGCTGCACGGTCTTTTCGTTACCCCTATGAGCTGCTGCCTGCAAAGCGTTTCCGTAGTGCCCTCCCTGGGCGTTGACATCGGCACCACGTTCAATAAGAAGCTGCACGGTCTTTTCGTTACCCCTATGAGCTGCTGCCTGCAAAGCGTTTCCGTAGTGCCCTCCCTGGGCGTTGACATCGGCACCACGTTCAATAAGAAGCTGCACGGTCTTTTCGTTGCCATGATAAGCTGCTGCCTGCAAAGCGTTTCCGTAGTGCCCTCCCTGGGCGTTGACATCGGCACCACGTTCAATAAGAAGCTGCACGTTCTTTTCGTTGCCATGATAAGCTGCTGCCTGCAAAGCGTTTCCGTAGGGCCCTCCCTGGGCGTTGACATCGGCACCACGTTCAATAAGAAGCTGCACGTTCTTTTCGTTGCCATGATAAGCTGCTACCTGCAAAGCGTTTCCGTAGTGCCCTCCCTGGGCGTTGACATTGGCACCATGTTCAATAAGAAGCTGCACGTTCTTTTTGTTACCCCTATAAGCTGCTGCCTGCAAAGCGTTTCCGTAGAGTCCTCCCTGGGCGTTGACGTCGGCACCTATCTCAATGAGCATCTTCACCAGTCCCTCGTGTTCCTTTCCCGCTGCTGATATCAACGCCTTATCGTAATCATTTGATACTGTCAAGCTCGAGTATAAATCAAGCCTTCTCATCTCTCGCATTATCTCCACCTTAAGCTTATCCGCCCTACTTGAAGTCTCGAGGTATAGCGGCTTCGTACTATCAGTAGAGTCTTTGACTCGCTCTGGTGGCGATTTTGCGGGGTCAGATTCCCCTATCTCAGCTGCAGCTATTTCTTCCTCTTCTTCTGAAATCTCGTTCTCGGCATCAAGGATATTGTCCGCACTTCCCTGAGATGGATCCGAGTCGAATTCTAGTTCGACCTCGTTCAAATCATCCTCCATTTCCTCTTCATCTGACCTTGAGGCTTGAGCTCCTAAAGATTCTCCATGGTCATCTGTTTCATCGAGCCTTTTTGGGAGCGTAAATAATGCCAATTGCTGCATATGACGTGCTAGGTGGCTCTTCAAACGTTTAGAATTATACTTCTCCCCGCACAACGGGCAAATTTGTTCCTGATCTATAGCTCTTTCGCATCTCTCAGCCATGGTAGGTATTTGTTCCTCAGTAAACAATGTGTGATGGCTCTGTCTAAGGTGGTCTTCGAAGAGTGTTTTATTGGTCAAAGCTTTGCGGCAGGTGTTGCAGAACCATTCTCTTCTATGTACTTCAACTTCATGGTTGTACCAATCGTGTCGAGTATCAAATATTTGATCGGGTTTAATGCAATTTTCGAATGTACAAACATAAGGTCGAAGATCCCGATATACATGTTTTCTCAATTTCGAATCTTAGCATGAGGCACAACGTGCACGTTGAAGGTTTTATGATCTTACATCCAAGGAATCTCACTGCTCACACTGATTATGGAGCAACAATATGGACATTCGAAAGGTTTGCCGTCAAGAGTTTCTGCGGCATCGGGAGGAAGAGGTACATGGATGGTACTCCCTGTCGCTGCTATGGATGGTGCATATGAGGTCTGCGATAGGCTATCATCGAGGTCGATTACTTCGATCTTCTGATTTGATGGGCTCTGGACATATGTTGAAATAGTTGTCAGTGTGTTTACTGTTTTGGCAATGGTACTGGGGCCTTTCTCAATCTGAGAATGACCTTCCAATAAGTTTTCATGGTCATTTTTTGTCATTTTCAATTCTTCCCCTCCGGCACTAGCCTCATTATTCTGGCCGTGTTGAATGACTGGAAAATTCACTGGCCGTGGAACGTTGATATTCTGAGATAATTTATCATGATGCTCTTTATGGTACCTAAAGAGTTGTCGACGCTTAGTATTCGCTTTTCCAAGGCGATCTCGCAGAAAATCCCGCACTCTGGGATATTTTTCACCAGCGTGTCGGATATCGAAAAACTCAAAATGTGAGATTTTGATAGATTCACACTTCTTAAGTCTGTCGCGCGGGGCTGGATTGCGTATGGTTATAGATAACTTGTACAAACAAGTGATAACGTGACAGATTTGGCCGAACTGTTCTTGGAGTTCGGTAAGTTCGATGGTCGGATTCGGTTGCTCTTCGGGATCCCCTGTGGGGTCATCCTGGAGTGAATATAAAGAAGAGCCTGGAGAAAGCGATTGATCGTCGAAGGGTTTTCTCTCATAAGAAACAATTGAGATGACTAAATGTTTGTTAGTATAATTTATCATAAATATAAGATCTCGTCGAAATGTAGGATCTGGAATCATACCCTCATTCAAAGCGTCGTCAAGGTCTCCCAGCAGGTCTCTTACCATTTTATGAACACGAGACGCTTCTCTTAGTTTATGGTCAAGGGAGACCCTTCCTTTCTGATGTGCTCCAGAATTTCCAGCCCAAACCCTAAAGCGCCCAAGTTCTTCTTCAAGGGCTGTTGCAGATAGCTGACTCAAAAAGTCGCAGTCGGGCTCCTGCAAGAGATCAAAGAGCTGGTTGAATGAGTTTACGCACACATCATATAAGGAAGCAATAAACGGAGGGCCAGTGTTGGATGTCATATTGAAGCGCTCTGTTTTATTGCGGTAGAGGTTTGGGAAACCCAAAATATGTAATTTTCTGTTCTAGGTCAATGCGCGCATCCCGAAATAATAACTATTGGTACAGGTTTAGGGTTTCGAAGCTGTCTGACTACCCCGCTTCGGAATGACCCGGACAACAAGCGTTATCCAAAAATCTATACAGAAGTTACGTCTTCAACCATGGTTACAGGAATTGAGGTTACGGGCATTGCGCTAGCAATATTCCCGCTCGTCATTGAAGGTCTCAAATCTTATTCCAATGGCGCCAGAACGATCAAGGATGTGTTGCGCCCTCAAATGGCCCTGAAGTCTCTGATAAGAGAGCTCGGAATGGAGCAATGCAAATTTGAGAACACTCTCACATCTCTTCTCGAAGGCATCGTCTCAGAGTCAGACCAGCTGTCTTTAATGAATGATCCGGGGGGTGAGCTCTGGTACACGGAAGACTTGCAAAACACGCTGGAGTCTAGACTTCGTACGACTAAGGCGGTACAAGTCTATGTAGACTCCATGAATGATCTTCTTTTTGTACTTAAAACCTTGGAGGATAAGTTTGTGCTTGGAAGTGAAGTATGTCCTTTACACTGCATTACAATTTCATTTATCTTGTTCATAAATTGTTTGTATGCTGATATCAAGTGTGATAGTGTGAATCCGATGCCAAAAGGGCTCTAAAAAGAAAGTGGAAGAATATTCGACTTGTTCTTTCGAAAGAAGAGTACAAAGAACAATTGAATCAAATTTCCAAAATTAACTCCGACCTTCAGACCCTTACTGGACAAACCAACTCTACCAACACTGCCATTGTCCAAACGACTGCATCTTTAAAGAACTACAAGCGTATACGTAATTATGCGATGAGCCTTGACAAGGTCCTCAAAGAAAAGCTCCAGCCTTTAAAACCGTTTTGTCAATGCTCAACCCCTCACAATGCGAGCCTGCAATTGGAAATGAGAAACGCGACATTTCGACAGAAGGGATTTGGAAAAAACATATCCATACGATTCCACGTCGTGATATCTTTTGAAAGAGCGGTCGGTGCAGGAATACCTCCGCTTAGTTCCTGGCGGGATATAGGGCTCGAACCTGTAGATACTAGAGAGGAGGGAAAATCCTTGGAGGACGAACAGACAGGAAATACTGATAGCTTTAGGTTTGGTGGGGCTGGAGATGTGGATTTGCACTCACATTTGATGCCCTCTCCTCCAGAGGTGGTTGTAAAGGAGAATACGAGACGTAAAATATCCTCCTTTATATCGAATATAGCTAAGAGCGGAGTAACCGGTTTTCTCCGAGAGGACAATACGTTGAGCAAAATATCCAGGTGAGATGAACCCAAAGTCTGGTCAAGATATATTTGCTAAAATATCTCAGCCTTGCTGAACCACACAACCACAACCCTATGCAACGCACCTCTGTAGAAGATCCATGGCCACTCAGGCCATCTTCGCAGGTACCAAGGCGTGAGAGCAGGCCCACCACGCCCAAAAATGTTTCCTTCACTGAGTCATCGACTCCTCAAGTACCTGTGGCGTCCGGAAAACCTACCAACCGAATTGAACATATGTGCTTGATCATGCAGCAAGAAGAAAGTGGCCAGTCTTGTCTTGGCGTCCTTGCCGACAAGAGCAGACAGTATCTTGTCTGGCCGCTTATACCATCTTCGTCACCTGAATCGACGGAGTTCAAATCTCTTGGTAGCCTTCTCGCTCAACGCCAAATGCCGAGAGTGAGAGATAGGTTAATCCTGGGAGTACAACTTGCTTCAACTGTTTTGCAATTGCACAAAACCGGATGGTTGAGCGAGAACTGGAATAACGAGGACATATACTTTCACGGGAGTACCTCTGAAGGGCAAGTACCAGATTTTAAAAGGCCTTTTGTTCGGCAATCGCCCGGCTTGAGTTTACCGGAAACACAAGAGACTAAAAGGTCTACCCTTATACCGCACGACCAGAGCCTCTTTTCCTTGGGCATTATTCTCGTGGAACTTTGGTACGCTCGTCCTTTAGAGGAGCTTCGAAAGGAGGAGGATGAGTCGGAGTCCAGAGACGATACAAATTTCAAGACTGCAAAGCGATTAGCTAGCCAAATATCGTCGGATGCTGATGCAAAATATGGTGATGCCGTCAGACGGTGTATTAAAGGCCTGGATCACAGGTCTGAAAGCTTGGACGTGGATGATTTCAAAAGCGAAGTGCACATGAAAGTGGTCGCCCCATTGGTAGAGAGTTTGGAGTATTTTTGCGACAAGGATATAAGTCAAATATTTCCAGAAAGGAGGAAGTTTTCGGTATCAAGATCTGCCTAGCTATGTAGCGGTTAGTTGGGTCTCCATTCACAGATAGTTATGATCTGGATAAAATAATCTGACTGGTACAGGAATCTATAGAATTTATTTAAGTTCAATTTCTTTAGCTGGAGTTCCAGTTTGCAAACCTTCGGGTATTTTCTTGTTGGGATTGTCGGTTTCATGACTGAATCTATTGCAGTGCTCTATTTGTCTGAAGATACTATATGAGGAATGATACAATAACACCAATAAATTGGTGAGAATGTTCGATTCATATCTTTATCTCCGAGCCTCCGCATATACTTTGAAAGTACTACGCGTATACGTCTCTGATAGCGAAGTCGGTCTCTCGCATCATGTACTATTAGATGAGTTGGCGGTAGGAATTTCTTTCTATGGAATCCTTGAATTCCTCGCACCACTTTATGATTTACGGGTACATTTATACCATTTATCTCATTACAAAGTATGCACACAATCAACACATTCATAGACTACTTGTAGGGCATGAAGTCTTTTGTATGTAATACAGTAACATGCAGCTTCGGGGTTATGAACGCTATCGCCAATTCAATTCTTGCGACATATTATAAGACGGCTCTAGCTCTGTAAATACATGTATATTATGTCCTCTACTACACTTGATATACTCCCCCGCCCAACCGCCCACAGACACATACACACATACACATACCGAGCTCTTATTCCCTATACGATTCGCCATGAAATACTTCCTTGCCACATCCATCCTCTCTTTCTGCATATTCCCCCACCTCACCACCGCCGTTAAACCTACACTCTGTGGAGGCATTGAATATGACACAACAAAAGTACGTCTCCAAGCTACCATATATACTTATAGTTCTCCACACCTACCTTCCTCATCTATACCTACCAAGTAACTAACCAAGGAACTTCCCTTCCTCCGCCAGTACGTCTGCATCAACGACCGGAAGCTATGCCCCACGGATGCTCCTGACCCCTGCGGACATGCATGTTTCAACGTCATGGGAGGGAAAGGACGCTACTTCTGCGATCCCCAGGGCTCAATTCTACGGGAGATGATAGCCGTACCCATATCCACATCAACTGTAACCAGCGAAACACCCCCGGTTACTGTCACTGTTACCATCTCTGTTAATAGGCGTGCCTCTACAACACCCAACCCTGAGGCAGCGCACGTGGGGGTTTAATTGTCCTGGAAAGGAGAGGGGTTACTTATAATTATGCGTGTCGCTGGGTAGATCTGCACGATATTTCTCATATTGGAGTGTACGTGGTCGTGGGTTCGGTCTGTATGTAGGCAAGCTTGTTTTTGTCTTTGGGTTTAGTGCATTCATGTAATTATGATCTTAATAATCGAGATTGGATATTGATCTTGAGATTGGATATCAAGTTTAAATGAAAACCCGATAAATTAGCCTGTAGGTTATAGCTAGCAATAGTATATGTCTAGTTGGGGCTTTTATAAACCCAGATATCTCGCGCTCCAAATTCTATCTAACCGCGGTCCTTCATGCCTTATCCATTGTAATCATTGCCATCTATAGCTCTCTAACTAGTCTGTCAATATATTCAAAGTATGTGGATGTACTTAGCGTAACCATTCAATAGTTCATGGTATTTGGATATGCAATTAATGAATTAAACAAAAAAAAAAAATGGTATTTGGATCACCACCCATCACTCGGTCGATACCTCCGCCCATGAACTTGACACGTACGCAGCTGGTCGGTGGAAATGTACATCTATTAACACAGTCCCACAAGAATCATCTCCTCTCTATCACCCTATAGATCCATTCTCCGCACTGAAACGAAGGCCTAGCACTTTGCTAGCTAGCCAGACCACATGTGCCAGTTACAGGCTCCCTAAACCGATCCGTACCTTCAAAAAAACACATATACTACTCCCCGTAGAACAACAACCCGCGAGCACGTGGAATTCAATCCTCCCACTATTTCCACAGACAGAAAATGCACCGTTTAGTTCTTAAGGCCGCATATAAATAAGTCTTGATACACCCACAGTCTTCCAGGACCATCTCTACAATCCCCCATGCAAGACGTATATATAGTTACCGCCCCAAATCAAGCACACCACAACGTCCATCGCCCTCTTCAGAAAACGCACCCCGCCGCGGCCGCCGCGGCCGCCGCCGCCGTCTTATCACGGGCAAATATAGGAAGCCGGCAACCGACAACCACAAACCCCGGGCGGTGCGGGACTCTGTTTATGGTGTGTGTATGTTTGTTAATGCTGGAAGGCCTACGTGGAGAGTGGGCTTATATATATCCTCAGTAACTATATTACGGTTCTACGTTTTGAGTACATGGGGCATACGTGAGGTGTTCGTTGTGGATGTATATATACATAGGTACTATATATTGCTATAGGTGCTACTTCCTTAGTTACGGAAAGAATTTGCGTTTAAGCATGGCCGGGTTGAGGATTAATTGGTGTAGTCCATATTTTGAACTACTCATAATGAATGTATATGGACTAGCCAGCCTGAAGTTCGAATGGAAGTTATCAAGAACACAACACGGTTTGACGGCCAGACGTCCAATGCATATGAGGAGCCTGTCTGATGAAGATACAACCCTGGATTGGGCCTCGGGGCTAGGCCCTAGATTCTCTTTTACTGCATGAGTATCCGGTCAACTAGTTGGCCCGCTACTGCAATACGGGGATGTACCAGCGAACCGCAGTGTCTCCCACTCAGGCTCAAGCAATTATAGACCGCACCTATATCTTCATGGCTTGTATACTAATTGAGCTCTTTCCCCTTCCAGCCTATATATAAACACCCGAACCGCTCTATTTACATGTACCCACATGATATAATATCTCCATGACTTCCGGGCGGCTTTTGCGGTCAAGTCAAACCGGAACTTGCGCATCAGCGTAGACCAAGGCAGGTTTTCTAGGCCTGTTATTCAGTGCCGTTGTTGTAGCAGGCCTTTTTCGGGATGGACTAATATCATGGCGGACATGCATAGTATTATATTAGCACTACAAGACCGAAGCGGGCCGTCATTTCGGTATTTGAGCTCGAGACTACATGTAGCCACCGGTACGCGAGTAGGTCGGGGCCGCTTAGGCCTAGCTAACTAGCTACATGTACTTATATACCGCGCGATGCTCCTCCGCCGGGCTCGCACCCCGGCTTTATAAACACAGTACCGGTGATCTCTACCGCACCGCACCCATCTTCCCCGCATCTCTATGCAACATATAATCGCATGCGATTCTCCGGCCGGACGAGCGCATCATTCCCCAACGTACGTACCAGTACGTAAAAGGTTTTATTTTACTTCGGACGCCTTCGAATCCCTTCCCGGAGCCCGGCGCAACCGTCCGGGAGCTCCATGGTGGTCCTATGTGGCGAAAGTGGGGTGTGTCCCAGCTGTGCGGTGTGCTGCATAAGCGTTTTAGCACCCGCTTCCACAAGCCACGCCACGCATCTTTGCACCAGAGAGATCGTGTTTCTCGATCCACAAGGTGCGCCCGACGAGTGATGCGCCGTGACTGCGGGTCGGTTTCAGGTGACTAATCCGAATCGCGAGCTCGGGCCACACTCAGGCCACTGCTCGTGGTATGTAAGGTACACATTTTATGTAATGTACAACTCCAGTCCCAGTAAATAGTAATTTCTACGCAGGCAGGCTCGCCTTCGAGCTCAGTGAAACAGCTGATCCGGGAGCCAAGAGATAGCTGACATCGTGAGTGGAGATTCAAGACATAGACAAGTGCCGTGTTCTAGCTACGCACAAGTCTAGCTCGCTACTCTACCCCCGCCTCTTGGCTAGCTGGCCCATACTGCGCCCCATAACAGCCCAGTTCTAGCTAATATCAGTGCATTTGCTTTTCCCGCCGTCGTTCGAATCACACGATGTCACTCGAACCTCGGTATCCATTAACCCGACACTACTAACAGTACTGGGTTACAGAAATATCAATCTCACGGGGCGCACAATCAAGCAAGCGCCCGTTTTATTTCCATGTCTATACCCTATTCTCGAAACCGTTCCAGTTGTTGGGGGGATGGGGGGGTTGCATTGCGTTGCGTACATGTACATGTAGTTACTTCTTTATATGCACGGAACGTCCCGACGTACTCGCGGCTGAAAGAACAAGAATAAAGGACGAACGTGATTGAGCATAGTAAGCTACTGGTGCGGAATAACTCCTCCTCGAACGCACGCGCCATGCTCGAGCCCAACATACATACACCCTACAAACGCACAGCCACGCAGCCCAATTCCAAAACAACCAAACAACCCCCTCGAGTGACAAGCCATGACGAATCCGCATTATCCGCCACCCTCCCCCCCAGGTCTAGAGTCCAGATGGACCCTTCCGCTGATTCAGGTATTATTGCCGCACACCTCGCCTCTCTCCTACCCTCCCTTCTCTCTTGTGTAACCCTAACCCTATCCATAAGTAGAGTAAAGGTAACAACTAGCCTGGCGGAAAAGATATATTCCGCGCCAGTATCACCAACTGGGTACTCCATGGCCTGCAGCAGCAGCAGTCGCTAATATTCCTCAAACGGGGTTTTTTCTCTCTCTTGCTTTCTCGGTTGACTTAAAATTAGGGTGGGGGATCCTCCCTCCAGCCCCGCCACCGCAGGTCAAAAAAAAAAAAGGGATCCCCAGTATGTAGCTAAGCACTGAATTGAGGATGGATGGATGGATGGATGGATGGATGGATGGATGCCCATGGGGCGAGGGGGAGATGACAAGAAGACCAAGCATTCCAATCCATCCGTCAGGTAGTCCGATCAGTTCAAGCGGAAAAGTAAGTGGCTACCTACATCCTAAGCGGGTACCCCTCATTTTCCTTATTCCTGACAGCCTCTAGAGTAGATACAGTACGGTACTCTAAAGTTAGTTTTCTTTTTCCTGTTTCCTGTTTTCCGGGAATGCCCTTTTTTCTCTTTTCTTTTTTTTGCAGTCTCAACGGCTTACATCCAGAGATGTAGCCGACGAGCCATATTTTTTTCGTCCTTTGCTATAGGGGCCTGGGGGGTTTATTCCTACTTGTTCCGATACTCCCCTATACGAATGTGCAAAAGAAGGCGAAGACGAGAGAAAAAAAAAGGACACCCTGGTGCAATATTTGTGTCTGTAAGTTATGTACTCCCCCAGGCACCCAGACAGACAGATAGACAGATAGATAGACAAGACTGAGAGACAGAGACAGGCACACGACACATTATTGATGCACAGGCCCTTTAGCGGGCCCCAACTTTGATCCCAGTAAGTGCTCACCGCATAGGTACGGCGTGGTGGTCCGCAGAGAGTATGTAGAGTATCTAGAGTAGGTAGCCCAAACAAACCCGGCGAAGAAAATTAATGGGGAACGTTTGGCTCGTCCACCACCCCCCCAAGCCCCCAAGGTATGGAGGTATGGATGTAGTTGATATGCGGAGTGTGGAGTAAACTAGGGACTCCGCTAGTATCTGGCGAAATACGAACGCGTATATACGGGGTGCATAAGAAAAAGGCTAGGTCACCGTCGTATGCAGCAAACTCAAACGGAACGTCCTGTTAGCACCCCCACCACCACTACCACCGCTGGGCCCCCCTACGTCGTCTTGGGGGAAATAAATCACGCATTTTTTTGAAACAAAAAGATCAAGACGAGAAAAAGAAGGGAGTGCAGTGTGGGATCAACCGGTATGGGGGGTGTTCGTGTATGTAGAGAGAAAGCTCGGGGACATACCGTCGATAAGAGTTGTTTTTTGTTTAATTTCAAAAAGTTCATTTCCACGATCGCAAGGTTCACGATAACGATTCAGTACATATAGAGAGAGATATGGGCGAGCAGACCCCCCTCCCCCCTCCATCGGTATTCGGTGCCTTATATAAACAATCTGGTGGGCCGGTATCTAAAGCTTAGGTATGTAGCTACGTATGTACCGCAGTCCTCTAGGTAAAGTAGAGGCTGTATGTCGACGAGAAGAGGGAGTGATGTTCATACTCCTGTAACTGTCACTTACTCGAAACAACTGATCCATGGCGGAAGAAATCGGACGTAACTGGTTTAATCCCTGGTGCGTGCAGCGAAAAATCACCTCGATGATATACCTCAAGGGTTCAACCAGTCCGAGTAAATATGCTGGCCCTACATACACGCACGCGGCTAGAGTTGAGTGTGCCCGTTGATGTATGTGCAGTGTTCCGCAAAAAGTGTTCTTCTTGGCCGATCAAGCGAGATACCTGAAACCTGGTTTACAATCGTGGTGCAAAGTAAATTTTGGGATAGAAGAGCTGCACAAGGAAAGATAGTCGCACCGGGCCCTCGTGTTATTTGCTACCGAGTGGTTAAAGAGATTTACGCCTCGCCATCTCTTCCTCTTCCAGGCGCCGCTTCGGAAGTCTTTTTGTTTTTTTCCCCTTTTTTCCGTGTTCTTTATTTCGTCTGCTTCACGATGAAGCTCAAAGATTTTTTCTTACTTGGGGCTCGCGTTCCAACAGCTTGTTGGTGTAACAGGTAAGCTAGCAAGGTGGTTGCCAAGAATGTGTTAGTTTCCCCTCATAAGGAAGGTTTCATAATTTGCAGCCCAGTGATGATCCCGGGAGAGTCTTTAAGCGGGTCAGTGAAGCGGATTAGGATTCGGATTATTCATGGCCAGCCCCCGGCCCCTCGCAGGTGGTGGGTGAGCAATAGGTGGTACCTTATTGGGGCGTTCGCACGATCGGAGAAACCGGGCGTTGATGGTGGGGAGTGCCGAAGTTTAGCAGACATCCGGCCTTTTGTCCGTTCGACCGTAGCCGGACAAACGGCGGGTGCCATTTAATGCTGCTGTGCGACTCGTGAGACTTGAAATGAACTGTTTTGATGGAGTAGAGAATGGAAGACTGAAGGACGAAAGGCAGTTGCGCAGAGTAGGTACAGATACCTATGAATACCTATCGGTATAGTTATACCTTTTGTTTGTCTGTTGTCGGGTGTTTGAATTCTATCTCTGAGCAGCGTTACCAACCAGGTCCCTGTTTATATCATGCCGGTCACTAATATTATGATGGTGATGCTGTGTTGTTGCTGCTGCTACTGCCTGTTGAGGCTGATGGGTAGTGCCGGATCAATCGGTGCACTGGTAAAGTAGGTACATGGTTGTTAACTAGGTTCTCAATTCAACCCCGAGATCTTTGGTCACGAGAGAGAAAGAAAAGAGCCTTTTTATTTCCGCCGTTGAGACCTACCAAACGCACCACCACGTACCCACGTCCAGGCCTCGCCGGCCTCCCAACATTCTTTCCAAGACCTCACGATGATTGGGAATCTGTGCTAATTACCACTCTCCCCCAGTCATTTATCCATTTCCATTTCCCTTTTTTTTTATTTTTTTTTTCCCTTGCTCACGAGCATTTTGATTTGTGGGGGCTTGCAGTTTGCCAACTTGGCGTTCTCGGTAAAGCAAGTCGTTAAAAGTCATTAGAAGCGATTTAAGTTGCCCCTTTGAAGTTTTGCGGGGCGGAAACGCAGGCCAAGGAAGGAGAGAGGAGGGCACGCGATCTGTCCTGCCATGTCTCTTTTTTCCTTTCCTTTCTTCCTTGCTATCTAAATTCGATGATGATGGATGAGATAAAAGAGAGGTTTTCTGCCAATCACATGCATGCGCCTAAGACTGGAACCTCTCTGCCCCAAATAAATCAACCTACTTCATTATTACCCTCATCCGTCCCATCCACATCGATTTCCCTTAAAACAGAACCCTTGCTTTCACATACCTGCCCTGTCTACCTCAGAGCTATGTATATGTGAAGTACTCGGGGCAGGCAATAAGAACCTGAAAATGCAAGCTGCAAGCCGCAAATCAGAGGTCGTTACCATAAAAAGTCATTTTCAGGTTCTTCTTGCCTGCCCCGAGTATCTACATGTACGCACCGTTCAGTAAGCTGAATTCGAGGTTGGGATTGTCATGGTGGGATAACCTGTTGTGGATACCTACCTACCTGGTGTAAGTAGGTGGAGACGTCGCAGAGCTCTCCGCCGAGAACTTTGATCGGCGGTGTAGCTGATTAATCCGGTGTCCTTTGCATCCCCCTCCTGTTCCTCCTCCTGTCTTTTGCCCCACAAAAGCCGTTTTGTGTGTGCCGTTTCTGGGGAATCCTGCTAGGCAATGGTGGTGAAACAAAGCATGAAGCTAGGTAGAATATATATGCCAGTGGCAGTAGTGGATTAATTGGGCGAAAGAAAAGTAATGGGCTTTAAAATCTATGCGAATTCTAAAGTAGTTCGAGGTTTAAGGGGACAGTCTCCAGGGCTCACGATGGAAGTTTTCCCTTAACGGTGGTTGGGCGGAAATGGAGGAGCTCATGTGGACTGGGCTGGCTGTCGAAGACGGAGCTAGGTTGATGGTGGTGGTGGATGGGAAATGCCTCGTGTAGTTTAGTTAGTCCTCTTTGGTGCGTACATCACGGATACGTAAGAGTGCTAGTTTTACCATTTATGTGCATGAAAATGTGCCATGAACCACCACCATGGCCACCACCACTACCAGAAGTCTTAGTATTTAGTTGCCTATAATTGTTCCGCTCGGCCGTCCCCCGTCGTCTGATGTATACATACCCGCCCTTCCCCAGATTTCCCTTTCGCCCCACCTGCCTGCTCATTCATGTTCTTTGTTCTTGTCTCTGCTTTTGGTTGTTGAGAACTTATTGAGAGTGGTAATTGATTAATTGATTGATTGATTGATTGCTTGGAAGGAGTTCTTCTATCGCCGCTGCTATTGCTACCTACTACTATCGCTACTGCTGCTTCTGTACTACTATACTACTACATCGTTATCTCGCCGTTCATAAAAGTCTTCAGCCATGGCTGTCACTGAATCCGCAACAACGACTACTGCAACGGAGGACTCATCAGCGGTCCCTGACTCTATCACATCTTCCAACCCCACAACTGGTCAAAAGAGATCTTCAACGGCTGCCGGAAACTCCTCAGGTACAAATTTTCGTCCCGTAAAACGAAGAGCATCGAAAGCCTGCCAATGCTGCCGGGCACGCAAAGTTAGATGCAATGTCGTGGAGCATGGAGCTCCCTGCACTAACTGTAGGCTGGACGAGGTCGAGTGTATCATTACTGAAAGCAAACGGAGAAAGTGAGTCACATTTACATTCATTCGACCCATTGTGTAGTACTGATGAATGATTGTTGCTGTAGGAAGTTATGGGGGACAAAGGTCGATTCTGTAGGGTCCGCATCAGATACCGCCTCTGCTCCCAAAACCGCACCGGCTGTCGCCACTGCTGCTCTTAGATCACCAAGCATCTCACATCACCCTGAACAACCGCATCACCACCATTCACCTTCAGCCATGTCTGTGGATGGTGGTTCAGATAGAGAAGGACATGTTCCTCATATGATTTGTATGCCCAAACTCCTCTACCATTGCCTATCAATAATGTAGTCACATTACAACATCATTCTTACAAGTCTATAAAGATCAAGCTCAGAGTATGCGAATGAGTATCACTGGCCAGGAACGTGAGCGCCGGGCGTCATATGCATCCTCTCACGGCTCTGTGCCATCGCTCACAAATTCCCTCTCTACACAAACCTCCATGACCTCAACCGGACCACACCGCGTCTTGCGTCCTCCCGGGGCCGTACCGCCATTCATAAAGCCCACCCCAACGAGAATACCCCCAGAGGACTTGGAGTACCTGACGAAGAAGGGGGCTCTGACATTGCCGGCGGAGCCGTTGAGGAGTGAGTTGTTGAAGAGCCATTTCGACTTTGTGCATCCGTACATGCCATTGTTGAATCGGAGGGAGTTTTTAGATATTGTAACTTCAGAAGATGGGAGTAAGGGGAAGGTCAGCTTGTTACTTTTTCAGGCAGTAATGTTTACTGGTAGTGCAGTATGTTCCTCCCAACCACTCCTCATCCCGATTAGTAGAGTTGAATTAGCAAGCTAAGTATGAGTCATAAAGTTCGTGGATATGGACAGTCTCAGAGTTGCCGGATTTACTACCCGAAAAGCTGCCCGTAAGGCTTTCTTCACAAAAGTCAGGGTACGTCAAAAATATAAAGCCAAAAAAGAAATTTCCCTCTCCTAACCGAGTAACTAACTCACAACTGAAACAGGCACTATATGATTTTGATCACGAGCAAGATCGCATGTCCCTTGTGCAAACTCTCCTTCTTATGACCTATTGGTACGAAACCCCAGACGACCAAAAAGACACTTGGCATTGGATGGGTGTCGCCATCTCGCTCTGTCACACCATTGGCCTCCACCGAAACCCCGAAAATTCGAATATGGACCCGAAGCGTAAGAAGCTATGGAAGCGGATTTGGTGGAGCTGTTTCATGCGGGACCGCTTGGTTGCGTTAGGGATGAGGAGGCCTACTCGGATAAAGTGCGAGGACTGTGATGTACCAATGCTCACACTTGATGATTTCTCGATCGACATGGCATTAGAGGGGGAGGAAGGTGAGGACTCAGTATTTTGGAGTTATGAGCAGAGGGAACAGAGGGAGAAGGAGGCGAGAAGGCAGAGAGAGTTGGCGATTATGTGCATTGAGAAAGCAAAGCTCTGTGTATGCATCAGTCAGGTCTTGTCGGCACAATATTCGGTGCTCAACACCAACCAAGGCAGCCTTGCAGCAGACGGAAGCACACGAACAACCATGATGTTGCTACCTAAAAAGCTAGATCCGGAATGCTGTCAAGTTGCTCGATGCGATAGCGAGTTGGCAAAGTGGATTCGGGAGCTACCGGAGGAGGCACGTTACTCACCAAATAGGGCCAACGACAACATGGATGACGTCCTCACCCTACATAGAAATTTGTTGCATATGGTGTACTGGTATGTTTTCTTCTTTCTTGATATTAATGATGTAGATCGCGGGGGAATATCGGCTGACATTGATCGTGTAGCACAACTGTAAGCGCTTTGCATCGGCCTCAGGTGCTCCCGTCTGCGCCCGCTCCCTGGCCGGCAAAGAACAATGCCGCCGAGTTACAAGAAGTTTCACGAAGGAAGGTGAGGCAAGCAGCATCAGAGATCACTCGTATGGCTGAGGAATTGATTGAGCTTGATCTTGTTAAATACTTGCCGACTACTGGGTATGTCCTACTTAAAGTGAATTATGATTTTAATTGTCGCTAATAAATAACAGAGTCACGGTCATGCTTCCTGCCGTGATTATTCACCTGCTAGATATCAAATCCTCGAATGCTCTCACCCGCGAACTTTCTCTCGAGGGCTTTGGACTCTGCATGCAAGTGATGCAAGGTCTCCGCCAATCTTACTCGGCTGCCGATTACGCTACTCACTTCCTCGAAGCCGCCATTAAGAAAGCCGATATTCAAGTTCACGGTCACCGCAAATTCGGTCACCGCAGACGCGCCCGCCATAGGAATGTTACACAACTTGGAACATCACCGGGAATATCTGGTGCGGCGGCCATCTCAATTCCCGCGTCTGCACCGCCAAGTAATGCAGCATTGACACCTCCACCAGACTTAGAAAGCCTGACGGCGATGGATATGGGTAAGGGGCTGGACGAGAATGAATTGCAGTTCAAGTTAGAGAGTTTTTTGCAGGCCCCCCCTTCGCCTTCACATGATGCTCCACTGCCCAGCGCTTTCAATGTTGGATCGAATGGGAACAGCACTCTCCAGGCACCTGTACCTGCTGGGGCAGAAGACCTCTTGTTCTCAGATTCGACGCCGCACCTGTCTATGCCTGCCGATGGCGGGGAGGGAACTAATGATTTGGATGCGCTCTTGAACATGAGAGAACAGGGTGATCCGTTCTTGGGGCACTACGATGATGCGGGGCTGTCGGGAATGAGCAGTAAGAATGCAACTGGTGGAAGAGCATTTGATTTGATGGGAGAGTCAAGTAGTTGGCTAGAGGAGGACATGTCAAAATTGCTAGATGGGGTCGATTTCGATATCGACGATGTTATTCAGGTGTTGGAAACGGAAATTAATTAAAGTTCTGGGACAAAAAGGGGGATTTCTTATTTCTTCTTGGGAGCTATTAATGCGGGAATAATATAATGGTTTTCATTCTGGGTCTTTTTGGAAAGGAGTTGTGGTGTTTTCTTCTTCCCTTTGTCTTTTGTGGACCTTTGGAGCTTTCTGGC